CCCCCGCAACATTCGCATTCTTCAGGTACCCGGCAGGCTGCGTTGGGTTCTGGTCCGAGTCGTATGCAGCGAGCATAGAGTTGAAGAAGAACTGGTTCACTTCTGTGCACATGCGTGCCGAAGCGAATTTCTGAGGCTGGAGTGACAGGAGCAACTTCTGGCGCTCGGGGAGGCGATTGTAGTTCTGTTCCCAGCGACGGATCTCCCACTCAGCATCGTTCTGGTACTCCCTGTAGGCTTGCACAACCCTGCACGGCCGCAAAATGCCTTACTAAATGGCAACACGTCACACACTGTGGGCATCGGCGTCCGCTATCGCTGCAGTTCTTTTGTCGATGGCTAGAAAACCCAATAAGCCCCAATAAAAAAGCAGAAAATGTCACAAGCTCTGGAGAAAGTGACAAAAGCACTTCTTGTCCTCCTCAGCATTTATATTTACTTATCTATCTCCTTTACTTATTTTGTCTCCTGATCATTGTTGTCCCTGTCTCCCAACACCATCCTTCGACAGAAAAATTCATGCATCACTGCCCTCCTGCTGACGAGGTCATCTGTAGGTCTTTTCCCATACAGTTTAATGGCCACAGAAATCTGCAGGTCCACAACAGAATAAAGGACTGCTGTTTCAACAGCTCTGTGCATGCGTAGCAACTTTGCAACTTTGCAGTCAGTATTTGAAGCATGTGTGTGCAATTCACACGTGCTCAGGGGCGATGCAGGACAGCTTCATCCGCAATTTACGAAGTGCAGTTTGTACGCTTGTGTTCGACCACTTGTTTGCTGCAACTAAGGTTGACTTTGGCTCTATTTGCATGCAAGTCAGAGATGGCAATGGTGTTGATCAGTGCGTACATAGAATGCACTTGTATTCAAGGCCAACGAAAACAGCACGACACAGATTAACAGGTGTTCATGGTGCTGGCGTCCTTGCATTCATTAATTTGCTGCAAAAGGCCTTGAAATTCAGCAGGGACCATGAAGGCATCAGCGGCACATTGCAGAGTTCCATAGTGCTGATCAATTCACTTGTCACTCAACAAGTGGCAGGTCACGAGGCTTAACGGCTGCGAGGTGATCCGCTTGGCAAATCTTCTGGCTTATAAGCATGTCTGACAAGATTATGGGACTGCCAATGCAATGCTGCGGTGAATTCCTTGCATTGTCAGCACGGCCATTGCGAACAGAAGTCCCTGCACCTTCCAGATGATGACAGGTGCAGTGGCGTGCTGGCAGTACATTTCTGTGATATGATTTCTGCGATTATTTATATATATGGGGATGCTTGTTGGCGATCAGAATCCTTCACTTGTTTATATATATGGGGATGCTTGTTGGCGATCACAATCCTTCACTTGCCGATCTTGCTGGGTGCTCCAATAGAGTGGCTCCGCAATGCCGCACTGAACGTAAAGGCCATACTTTCTTTCCACACTGACCGGTGGAGAATGACCGTGGAAGAGTCGGCGCTTGCACGTGCTTTGTTGACAGAGAGCATCGCCTCCAAACACAGCGATCGCGCTTTATAAAGAGATAAAGTCGGTAAGTGGATCAATAGACCCGCCCCTTCCCTTCATCGCCATTCACGCCACTTTGACGTCCGGCCAATGCATTCCAGGAGAGTCGCATCCTTCTTCTGCGGATTCCAGATGAATACCAATGGGGGTGCGAACCCACTTCGTCGCCGGGGTGCGGGCGCCCACACCCAGCGCGCCACCAAACTTGCTGGCTTTCTCAAAGCTCATGCACGTCTGCCTCCACATCACGTGTAAGACAGTGCCCAAAGACCCTTTCCGTTGCAAACTGCGATCCCATCTCTCTCTGAGAACCGCAGTCGAATGGCGGCCAACCCGCGGACCGCCATTTTGCCCACCCGGCTTGCTCACCTTCCCAAAGCCTTCCTCTCCTCCTCGTCCAAGATAGGATCGCGCTCCGCCGGCGATGGATTGGGTACCCCCGTCCCCTCCTTCCCACGCTCGGTCTCCGCGCCAGCGGAGGCATCGGCGGCATCGGGGCAGCTCGCCATCGCTCCCCGGTGGAGGGCAACCTACCGGCCGCGCGACAGAGATCATGAAACGGGTTCGGCGGGGGGCGCCCGGTCGATGCTTCCATCCGCTGGCCGCGAAAGAAAAAAGGAAAATGCATCGGGGCGCGTCGAGCGGGAACCATCACAAGATCGCACACAAGCCCAGCCTCGGACAACCACTCGCGACGACCCATCGACAAAAGAAAGGCGGAGCACGCAACAAAACGGGCGCCCCTGAACTGCACAACAACGTGGCGAGGCTCCGTTCCACGCAGTGACAGATGGTGATTGCGTTGAACGCGGGCAGGGGAGCACAACACCGCTCTTGGCGCGCAGCAAGATCGCGCCAGGTTCTCAACTCACAACGAACCTTCGCGAAGGCGGCACCCTGCAGGCCGCGAGGCAGCCCCCCGCACGCAAGCAGCCCGCCAGCCGCCTCCCCGCGCCCTTTCAACAAGTTCCTGAGAAACAGAACTTGAGGCCCCTTTGACTGAAAGCCATCCCCCGGCCGGAGAACAGCGGCCCCACGCGGGGGATTACATACCCTCCCGGGGGCGGTCCCCGGGGCCCACGCCCGCCGGGCCCCGGTGAAAGGCCCCGGAATGCCCCGCCAAAGGCGCAGCTCTTCCGTCCGGCTCGTCGGAACTCCGCGCAACAAAAGGGGGGCCAACACGCGGCCAAGTTGAGGGCAGCGGGGCCTTTAACTTAACCACGGGAGGCGCGCACCGATCGAGCCATGCCCGCCCCGGCAGCGGTCGCGGACGGCAAGGCGATCAGGAGACAGGGCGACGGCGATTTTGACGAAGGGGCGATGGGGGAAGGGGAGGAGGGGGAGGAGGAGGAGGAGGAGCCGCGTCTGAAATACCAGCGCCTGGGATCGGACGTGGCGGACATCCTGGCGAGGGACGAGGCGTCCTGCCTGTGTGTGTCGGACAAGATGCTGGTGCTGGGCACGCACAACGGGACGGTGCACCTGCTGAGCTGCGCTGGAGATGAGGTGGGGATTGGCGGAGTGGCGGAGGGCGGGTGCAGCCTGGGATGGGCCAGGCTCCCTCCTGTGTCCGGGTGCCTGTGCGGTGCTTTTCTGTGTTGCGAGAGACGGTGTATGAGGAGGCAGAATTCGATGGGAATGGAGTGCTGGACGCAAGGTTCAGCGCGGGGTGCCCAGTTTTGGAGCCATGGGCTTTGCGTGGGTGGTGCTCCTGGTTGGGAATGCCGTCACCGCGACTCGCGCCATCCCACCGCACGGAGTGTGTCTCGTGGGGCACCGCTGTGTGGAGTGCAGCGCATTGACTTTGGGGGTGGAATGGAGTTTGCAGTGTGGGTTGCGCAGTGTGTCAAACAAAGGGGATAACGGGCGCGAAATACCGTCAAGGTTGTGTGGAGTGCAATGAAAACCTCCATGGGGCTGGGATTGACAACCATCCCTTGAGCCACAGCCACCCCGGCCCCAGCACTGGCCACCAAGCAATCTCAGTATTGGCAAACCCAAAATCAGCGGACGCTAGCTGGTCTCCTGGTGAAGATCCTCGTCCTGATTTTCCCCTGGTGGTTTTGCTCGAGATGGAGACCATGGAGGCACCATATGGAATGCGGTTCTGTTGATGCTGTCCCCATCGCCAGCTTGAAGGTTCTTTGCCAGTGCTTTCTCAAATTTGGCAAATCTATTCAAGGCCCATTTACGTGTGCCAATGTCATCCTCTACCATGCTGCAAGGTGTGCTCTATTGGCCAGAAGCTATCAGTTGGTAATGGGGACAAATGTAAATTTCTGTTGTTGCATTTGTCAATAAATGGTATAAGCACTGCCCTTGCATACACCAGGCCGTGCTGGCTGTTGTCCACAGCAGAAAATGTCCCTAATGAAGGCATTCCCTTGTATTGTGCAAGTGGACAAGTGGACATGGCTATACACCAGCTGTTCCATTTGGAGCTTTGGCAGTTCAGTGAAATGGCATGTGTCTTCACTTGACATCGTTCCTTGTGGTACGTAAGGAATGCCAGTTGAAGCCAGTTGAACTACGGACTTTCAAGTTCTGAGTTCTAACTTGAACATCTTTGTACTTGGCAGTTGAGGACCATGCCTGATGTGAGTGTTGTGATTGGGCAGGTCAAATGCTTCGATTATCACAAGGCGGCCGTTACCGGCCTCTCTTTCGACAGTGCAACTGAATACATTGCCAGCTGCTCCGATGATGGCACGGTTGTGGTGAGTTGGGCCCCCGACCTGCCCACACACGAATGAGTTGCAGGCTGTCCATGTACCTTGGTGTTGCCATTGACTTGAATTTTCATTGAGCACACAGCAAAGGCCACTGCAAGCCTTGTACTATCAGCATAAGGACAGTTCTGCCGTTGATCAGTGAAAAAGATGTTCATCACTGAATAGCACTATATCTTCATTGCTTGCAAGCACACTTTGGGAATGTCTTCACCATGGATATTCATCCCACGAATGCTCTAGCGTTGCTCACTGAACACGCAAGGACTACGTGTGCCCATTATGGCACGCATGGGCTCATGACATGAATGCAGTCTGCTGCCGTTGTTGTTGCTTCAAATCACACTATGTGGAGTTCAATGCAGAGAGCTTCCTTTGCATCCTTTGCACTTGCATTAGCTGCAGTACTGTTGAGCACAACTGCTTGAAGTACAGATTTCTTTCATACAGCATACCTCATAATATGTTTAGTGTGCATGCCCAGCATGGGCTTGCATGCGACCACGAAATGACATTTGACCAATATCGACAATATTTACACTGCATATAATGTGCACATAGTCGATTTGCTTTCACAAACCTCTAACAGACATGGCTGGCCATCTGCAAGGCCAGGAAGGGTGTACCCTTGTAATGCAGGCGCATTGTTTTTGCTGATTCCAGGATGTGCTGTACATTGTCACTTGTCACTGCCTGCATTGCGTATCAAATGGCCCCAGTGCAGTCAGTATTTGATTGCAATTGTCTAAAAGTGACGAGACACTGTTCTGAGTCGTTAGTGGCATTGAGGGTTCATCATTCCGTTGGCAATGTCTGTTCAGGCATGCTTGTGCTTTTCTGTCAGAATGACCTTTAATGAACGGGCAAAAGCTTAGGTGAGATATTGGAAATTCTTTGCAGTTTTGACACATGTGTGTGGCATCCAGATTCGGAGCCTTTGCTCAGAAGAATTGTACACATTCAACTACCAACGACCATTGAAGGTAAGGCAAACGTCCCAGATACATGCAAAAAAGTGCCCATCGTGTTTCATACTTGCCGGCTCTTGAATTCACAGTTGCAACCATTGCACTTGTTTACACGACACAGCAACACAGAGGATTGGTCCATCTCCCATACCACCAGATATTCAAGTTGGTTGATGGCTTTGAAGGCCATCCTGTGGATGGGACAGTCTGCCAGGAAGAGCGATGAGACATTTTGATATATTGGTGCAAAAAGAGCTGTAAGGCGCTATTCTGTTACATAGGTTTGTTGTTCCATTGTCAAGCTTCTCTGTCCCGTAGTTCCTGTGTTCCTAATTCCTACCTTGCACCTCCACGATGAAAGCGGCAGAGTTGTTAGTGCGGTATGGTACAGATGCACAATGCACTGAGACATTAGGAGGACTTCTGTGTTAACACTGCAGGCCTTTTAGTAAGATTTGGTGCTCTTTGGTGGACAAGTATTTGGATTTGGGATGGACTGTCTGGGAAGCAATGGTGACCATCTCTGGACAGATAACAATTGCCAGAAAAGGAAGAAAGACTAACTGCATGATTATGTGCAGTTGTGTTTCCTTTGCACCACATATTGTTGATATCATATTGTAACTGGCAGCACTCACTGCAAGCCCTCTGAGAGGGTACAACACTCTATAGTGTCGTTCTATCTGTTCAACCCTCCATTTCCCTCAAGATATTCGGTGCAAAACGTTGCACTCAGTAATACTTTACCAAGTTTTCAGAAAGTGCTGAACCCATCGAGACTCCCAGAGTCTCAGAGAGTAGAAGACTGGGCTTCGGCCACAAGGAAAGCTGCACTCTGCAGGTTGTCTTGGCATGTGAATTGTTACTTAATCTTGTTGAAGATGGAAAGATGTGTATCATCATATGAGCTGTTCAATGTTGACGAGTGCCATAGAACTAAGAGGAAAGTTTATTTTGTGCTCTTGCTCATACCGTGTGCTCTGTTATTGCACCAGAGCATTGCCCTTGACCCGCGGTTCAGCTCTCGAAAGACCCAAGAATTTGTGACGGGTGGAGTTGCTGGCAAGCTCCTGTTGAATTCTCGGGTGAGTGGATGCCAGAATGCGCTACCTTGGAACGTTGAGCATCTGCCCAGCAGCTCAAATAGTACCTGAATCCCCTGTTTTCATGTCATTCTGAGGCATGATCAAAGTGTGTGAGCAGGAACACAAGTTGCTCTGCTGCCGCCTCAAGTTCACGTTTCTTGGGCCTCACTAAAGTTCCTCGCATTTGCTTTTGGAATCCACATTGGTTCCACGTTCAAAACAGGTAGAGAGAATGAAAGTCACAGTAGTCTCCCACCAGCGCGGAAGGGCACATAGCATTCCACGTTTGTGCACCTCATTCGGGAGGACACATCCCACCCCCAAAAGCCCCTCAGCATTATTAACTTTTGCACATCTTTGAAACTATTGTGTGCAAGCCCTGAAGGCATTATCGACTTCAATGTCCCTCAGCACATTCAAGACATCAAGTGCGAACCCAACATTGCTTGTGTGGTTTATATCCTAGGGGTGGCTGGGGAAGAGGGACACTGTCCTGCATGCAGGCGAGGGACCCATCCACATCGTTCGCTGGGCTGGCAGCTTCATAGCGTGGGCAAATGATGTTGGTGTGAAGGTGACAGTTGCGACTGCACTGTGGTGGTGTGTAATTTCTGCATTGGCTGAAGTGTTTTCTTCGGGACTTTTGTCCTTTTACAGTGATTGTGGTTCAGCATTCCGCAAAGCATGAAGAGCTGACGATTTCAGCAAGAAGACTATGACACTAATTGGGTTCCTTCATTCCTCTATGAGCTATAATTGGAGGACATATGGCAGTGTGTTGTATAGCGCCAATGGCAGCATGGTGCCTTAGACATAACTTGTACACTATCTGTGAGCTGATTCAAAGTGCAGCTTGTAATTTTGCATGGTCGACTCTGAAAATGCAAACTTCGTATTGCATTATCTTCAAAATGCTCCACAAATAGTTTTGAATAAACATTTCCTGGGATTGTGCTGATTTGGACATGATCGTGGTTGCAAAAAATGATATTTCATCACAAATTACTTTGTCCGTTGCAGGTATACGACTCATCTTCGCACAAGCACATCGGATCTGTTGATCGCCCTCGTGGGACACACCCATCGACAAGGATGCAATGCCAACTTTTCTGGGAAACGGACAATGTGCTGCTGATCGGCTGGGCACACACCATCAGCGTAAGGCTCGCATTGAAGATCTGATAATACGATCTGATGTTCGATTACAGACCTGGTGGTGGCTTTACATTTTACTTGTACTCCTGTTAGGAAATTGAGGTTGCCTTAACAAGAAATGCTTAAAGTGTGTGAGCTGAATTTATTGTGCCCTGTAGCATGTTTGGCAAATTTATTGCCAGTGAAGATCCAGCAGAGGGGGCCCACAACCTTCAACACAGAGAAGGACTTTACTCATGCAGGAACGTTTGTTCAGAAAAGTTGCTGCAAATCCTCCCCACTGCCTGCAGTGCTGCGCTGTGCTGCATTGGATCGCCTTCTCAATATCTTCGATTAGTACATGACCCAACGCTGGCCTGAATGATCTCATTCTGCTTTGTGTGTTCCCTGCTTCATATAGTGTTCTGTGTTTGCTTTTCGATCTAAGGACTGCAATTTTCGAGCTCACAGCATGACATCGGGCCCTTTTGCTTTCTGTCCCACATATTTGCAAACCTCAGTTCGGGTAAGCTCAATTTCTTGGTGTTGCTATTATCCCCATTGGGGGTGGTCAGAACAAAATCCCCATGATTTGCCTCCTCTCGAAGGATATGTTAGTGCACCACCTACTCGGGTGGCTCTAACGTCAGCTGCACTATAGTCATGCCAAATATACAGAGAATTGATCCAAATTGGCCGCAGGTGCACATGGAACACAGCTTTTCTAGAAAAAGATGACGGTTTGGGGCCAGCGCTCCTACTGTGAATATGCTGGCTCAGAAGGCATGGGCACTTTTATAACTCACTGCAAGGGTCTATGAAAGACTGCATCAAGGGGCAGAACCAGCTCCTTACCATCGGATGTGACATTAAGTAGCACAGGAGATGAGTGCTGCAGCTGGAAAGAACCACCAAAAATGATGTTTTAATGGCTTTGCTCTGCAAAGAAGGCCAACTTTGAGTGTGATTGCAGGACACAAAGGACCCTGGAACAATAGAGTGCCTGATCCGTCAAGTAGTTTCAGTGTGTATGTCTCTGTGTTTTCACATATACATATACAAGGCAGGGCACGGACACGCCATTGGCAGTTGCACACATGATGCCTGCACAGCGTGATAACTTCAACTGCTAACAGCATCATGTGAAAATGGCTCATTTTGGCTTTGATTTCCGATATATTTTGGCAGCTAAAGGCAGATGAGGCACATTGTACTTGCACTGTGCTGTTCTGTTTGATTTCCCGGCAGCTCAAAAATGCTGCACCTGACTTGTCCTCTGGGTTGCTTTATGAGTAATATTTCAAAAACATCAACTCAATTCTGTGGCCTGTTGATTGTGAATAAAGAATTTATGAATCAGGATACTGGTTGTTTGATTGGCAAGACTGTTGCTCTGCAGGTTGCGAGCATTCAGTCCCCAGAGCCAACGAGCACGGTGCAGTGTGGAGTGGCCATTCTGGCCAAATTTGACATCGATGGGATTGTCTCGGTGCGGTGGGAAATGGGGAGGTCAGCTGGGTGGTGAATGCGCCTCAACCACATCTATCAGAATATGATTATTGTCACATTGCATGTTTATTACGATGTGATTGCCAACGCTTGCTACAGTGGCACATTGCACCAGTTTTCTCCCATCGCTGCTCTTGCTCCTGTGGCACGTGTGACAGACAGCCCAAGTTGTTTCAAACACTACTGCAGGAAAGCAATAAAATCAAGTGCTATTAATTCCTGAGCCTTTGCCTACCTTTTTACAATAGATGCTGCAATGCAGATGCTGCCAAACGATTCCCAAAATGGACTATGTTGCGTTGTGCCATGCACTGCCCCCTCGTCTTGCATTTCCCCCTTTTTGGTCACATAGGCCATTCAACAGTTTGCGCACCTCCCACACACTCGCCAGTACAAACAGAGCACCTTCATCTCCTCTGCCTCAGTTGGCCAAAGCCAATGTTCAACTGTACATCATCTGTTGAATAGTTTGCCTTTACTAGACTTTGACGTGTCGATGCCCTTCCAACTGATTGTAGATGCCAGCTGTTAATGACCTCAGCCACGCTAACCGTAAACAGTCATTTTTCTATTCAGTGCAAGGTGGTGCACTATATGATGCCCCACAGTTTCCCTGCCTAGTTACCAGTGTGTTATGCCATTGCAGGTCAGCCATTTGCATGCCATGCCTTGCTTGCCAACCGTAGATGCGCACAGGTCCTTGTCCATTCTCATGTTGTGCTTGTTCAGTCAAGGAAACAGGCATCCTTTTTATCGAAGTTCTGACCACCAAAGCCTTTCCGATCAGCACTGGCTTGAATGTGTTTGATCGCCATACAGCCACCTCCCTGTTGTTTGGGAAGTGTTGCACCACTGACAGGCTCCACTGCCATATGAGGCGGTGGCATTATGCCCTGGTGCCTGTTTATTGCCGTTGTCTCCTCTTTATTCCAAAGTACACTGCATTCAAGAGTCCTGGTACCTTCGCAAGGAAGGCAAGTTTGGCCTAGGAGCCTGGCGTGGGAGCCACAAACGATGTTGCTTTGTTGCTCATCGACTGGCATGGAGCGTCAACATCACAATTGGCTGCTTCTCCATCCTGAGCTGGCGGGTCCCTGAACTAGAACCCATACTATGGACAAGTCCAGTGTTGTCCACCTGGGCATATGGGTGTGATTTTTCACTTGGCTTTTTAATTGAACGCCACATGCAACTGTACACAAGGAAATTCAGATCGTATCCTTGCAAGCTGAATCTTGAATCGATGTCAAATGCTATTTGGACTATTCCACAAAGTTGTGAGCATGGACCCAGGGCTTACTCGAGCGTATTCAATACAATGGCCGCTGTGTTGCCATGGAATCACAGGGTGTCGAAAATGATGATTTGTCAGCGCAGACGTTGATAGACAGGGAATTTGGGCCTCATGGTATTGGCAACCTGCATTCGAAATTTGGTGACATGGAGGGGTTGCAACATTTCCCAGTTTTTTGCTGTTTTGCTCAATGCGGTGATAAAGTATGTGGTGCCTGACTGTGCTTTGTGTACTGTCATATGGACTGCACGATCATCATTCCAATGCAGTACACATCCACCTTCAAATCAGCATCAGAGTATGCTTGCATGCCAGCCATCTGATCCCAATGGCGACTCTGATGTTTCACTTGTCAGTCGTTTCCATTGGCAGATTCCCTTCAAGGAACAAGCTATTGTCCATGTTGTTGTGTTCTGCCACTCTTTGCAGGTCATTGACCTTGCTATTCTGCATAATCCTCTTGAGTGCATTTGGAAGATCATTGTAAGCCACTCCCGTTCACCTGGTGGACGATTTTGTGGACTAAAGTCATTGGCTCTGCAGTCAGTCAATTGCCATAGACAGATGCCAATTCTGCCAGTCGTGCTTGTCAGTGACTGTTTTGCTTTCATGCAGGGTATTGCTCCATTTGGCAATGACTTGGCAGTCCTAGCATACATGACGACACTAGTCGACAAACCAGGGCAGGTGGATCCTAAGAACGGAGCACATTTGAAGCCATGCAGACCAGAGGTGGGCGCAATTCTGTTGTGGGGTTGCTGGGTTAGCTTGTGCTGTTGTTCGCACACAGCCTTGAATGGAGGCTGGCAACGAGTGGCTGGATCGAGAACGGTGCCTGCAGGCACAGTACTACAGAGTATGGCCTGGCAGCTTATTCAATTCCCTTTGAGTTGCAATTGTTTCATTTTTGTTGTGCTTCTCTTTTTCTGTTGGTCATCCATTTTGCTTCATTTGCTTGCTCAAAAACTGCACTTGAACGATCTTGCACCAGGGGCGATCCACCCATGAGCGTTTTCTTGTCTGTAATCCCAATTTCATCGATTTCGTATTATTGACAAATGTATTTCATGTTCCTAATTTTAGCTTTCACATATTTGTTGATCGTTCAAACATCCATTGAACTCGGTCTTGTCCAACTCTCAATTGATCACCATTGATCGTCCAAAAACCTGTTGTCCATGGTGCACTGACACACATATTTGCGCAGCTCCGAATAATCACCCGCGAGAATGACGAAAAGTCGTCAGATGCCCTGTCCATCGGTGGCTTTGAGCACTATGTGGCCAATGACTACTCCTTAACAACGTGGGGATCCGGACAAGGTGGAACAAATGGACGGCAGATGGCAGGAGCATCCCCAAGTGGCCGCAGCACACAATTTGTGGACTGGTGGACTGAAGGAGATGAACCCTTATTCTATGTTGTGTCATCCAAGGTGAATCCTCTTTGCATCTAGTCTACTGTATTGAGTATTCAGGTTTATGTTGGATGATCTAGGAACCTGCAGATGTTGTCCAGGGTGGACACCGCATTTGTCCTGCCTATAGGATTTGGGATTCTCTGGGGTTGCTTTTGCCTGCATGTGCTGGATCTAGCAATGTCTCAGTGAAGAAAGGAAGAATGGCTATTTGGCTGTAGCTGGGCATGTCTGCTTTGGAATTGTCTGGAGTGCCAGCTGCTGTGGTGTTGTCATGTTGTGCTTGCAGAATCAAGCCTTTGATTTTGGCTGATCGTGTATTTTAAGAACGGAACTGTTTCCAGAAGAAGTAGTAAAGTGACCCACAACTCGCCACTCTATGGATCAGTTGTGTCCACAAATTCACCAAGTCCATATATGTCTGCTGAACCAGGGCTGGATGTATACACCACACCACAGTCCACATGGTGTTGAGACTATGGTACCAATGAACGTGGCACAACAAATCGCCCGCCAATACCATGCATGTCAGCCTTCTGTGTAGAGGGCTGGTTACATCAATCGGTTGCTGTACATCAGCTGCTGGCATGCCGTACAGTCGTGCGGGATAATCTTTACACTTCGGACCTTAGGCAGCAGGGCTCTGGGAAGGAGGCTTCATGAAGCATTTGAAAAAAAAGTTCAAACCTTAACTCTGACACTGAAGTATGTGGATGAAATTGGAACGAATTGGAAGCATTTTTTGGCGACTGCAGCCCTGCATGGTCTTTGGGTAAACTAAATGAACCGCTGAATTATTATGAGAATAATCGTTGTCTACCTCCATTCCATCAGCCTTTCTGGCAATCCAACAAGACTGGAAATGCAGCTGACAGCGGCTGGGGAAGAAAATGGCCATCTGCCCCACTTTCTGGCATGCAACTTCTCAACTGTGTGCTGCCTGCAACATCGATGTTGTGGTAGTGCAATAGTTGCAGTTTGGTCTCTGTTCAGCACTTCACCATAGCTTGACGCACTTCCCACCAATAGCGATCTGCCATCCTCTGGACCGACTGCATAATCGGTAGCATCTGCTTGCCCTGTTTGCTAGCTTGTGCCCATCGCCTAACAATTCAGCATCTCTTGCATGTGCAGGAAGTGGTGGTTGCTAAGCCCAGAGATGGGAGTGACAGAGTGAACTGGTTGCTGACACACAGGAGATACGAAAAAGCACTGAAGGTGGCGGAAAGTCTAAGGAAGCGTGATCCCGACACGTACGATCAGGTATGAATTCGATTCTGCTGTGGCTATGGGGTTTAAAAATGAGAAAACACTACATTTGCAGCTGTGTCGCAACACAGGGCACTGTTTGCTTCCTTGTGCGTTTACTCCTACGATGCATTATTTGTTCCTATTTGCAGAGTTAAGAATAAATGCCTCCTATTGGTGGACTGCTGAATGCTGGAATTTGTGCTGCATGGATATGCGATGTTCAGGAGGGGTTGAGTGTACTGAAGTATGTCCATTTAAGTACTCAACTGTTGAATATGCCATTGCTTAAGGTTTGCTCAGATAATGTTAGTCATATTCGTGATGCAGTCATTGTGGAATCGCTGTTGCCCCGCTGGTCTTTCGCTCACTGGTACAGATCGTGTGATGGTGTTGTGTCCCTTGTCTTATTTCTAAATACCAAATCACATTCGAGATGCCAGTTCCCATCCACACCAGGACAGAAGACATCCTTTGGTGGTGTTTCTGTGGGACTGTATGTCAGACATGTGAAAACCGCGTCTTGCTGCTCTGTGCCCACTGGACACGTTAAGCTGGGGCATGATGCCATTGGGCTGGAAATCAGCAGGGTACCTGCTTTCCACAACAACGCGGTTTAAGTAGTTTAGCGCGGATCCTGGAATGCAAACTGCTTGTTTTTAACAACTGTCTGCTGTCACATTGCGATGCCACTTCTACCTGGGTCTTGCAAGTCGGAATTCAGGCTGTCTACTTGTGGCAACATGGAATACTTGCAACCAATGCATTCCATGCCAGTTGCTGTTGTCTGCTAACATGAAATACTTTTGTTTGCCAATGCATTCCGCACCAGTTGCTGTTTTCCTGTTTGACCTGTTGTATCACTTCAAGCTTGCAAGTAGTCCCCACCCCACTCACCCTAGCAACCACAACAGCTGTTGTTCTTGCTTCCCTTGTCTTTTTGCCATCGCTGCTGCCAATTGTCGCCCACCACGAACACCTTGGTCACATGCTTGGGATGTTGTCTCGGAATGGCAATGTAAAATGTTGTGTTTGGGGTATTCTGTTCAGAGTTGGACTGATGGATTGTTCCCATGGCCTCGATCATGATGTGGCGAATGTGTGAACCCACAGTGCCCACCCACAACACAGCAGCTCTGGGAACCTGTTCATTGCAACGACACACAAGGAGCCAGAATCGCCAAAAACCTACGCTATCCCATCTGACGATTATTCCATTGACTCCACTATTGCTGTAAGCCCTTGTCCATAGAACCACCTGTCAAGTTTCTGGCTTTAGATAGGCACTGCACTGACTGTTGGAGCTTGTCCACAAACCTCAGGTCGTGGACAGATACATGGACCACCTGTTCACTAAGCAGCGCTTTGAGGAGGCAGGCAAGATGTGTCCAAAGCTCTTGCATCATGACTACAACCGCTGGGAGCGCTACATCTTCCACTTTGCCCAGAGGAGTCAGCTGCACACCCTCGCCAAGCACATACCCACCAGCAACCCCACCCTGAAGCCCGCCGCGTACAACATGGTCCTTCGCACTTGCGTGCCCTTCCCTGCCCAGCACAGGCGGCTGCTGGAGCTGGTGACGGTGTGGCCGTCGACCGTGTATTCGGTGACGGCACTCACGAAGGAGGTGCAACAGAAGGTGGAGGCGCTGAGGGGGGACAAGTCGGTGCTCATGGAGGTGCTGGCCCAGCTCTACCAACTGCAGGTGTGGCCTCCATGGACATGGTGGAGCCAAGGGATGCCTTGCATTCAGATTTCGCTGTGAGGCATGTTTTCTTTTCCTTTCTTTTGTTGTTGTGATGTGGTTGGTCTTGAGTGCATCCCACCCAGCACATCCTCTCCCTACGAAAAGAGGCCCCTCGTGCTTATTCAACTATATTTCCACTGCCCTCAAGTATGCCTTTGTTTTGGTAGACACGGTGCTCATTGATGATCATCCGTCGCCTCCACACCATCTTGACAATATGAGAAAGGTTGGAATTGTATTCTTTGCAAGGGGAAGTGTTGCTTGGCAACATCTTTTCTTTCCACAAGGACTGTCTATGTACACCATTCCCACCCTTGACTCCATGCCTGTCAATCCCTGCAAGGTGACTTGAACGATGACGATCTCGTTGGCAGCAGATGTCCTGGCCCTAACGTTGGTGTTCGCCCACCACTAAACTGCACACCGGTAGCTACCCCAAAGCCCTGGGTGCATGTGTTTTTGCCATTCACAATGCGTTGCATGGTGTGCTTTCTTTTTTGGGGGGAGACCGCTGCAATGCCTGTCACAGCACAGCACAAAGTCTCGCTGTCCCCTGCTCAGGATTTTGCAGCCATTGTGTGACAAGTTTATCTTTCCTGCAACGACTGGTCTGCGCCTGTGGGGTTAGGGTGCTTTTGCTGAGCATTGTGTGATCATGTATGGGTTACTCAGAACCTGACCCCTCTGACGATTTGGGTTTAGTAGACACATGACATGACCAACGTATTTTTCATGCTGCCTTCAAGTGTACTTGTGTTCATTTACTAATCCGCCCCCTCTTCACCAGAACATGCATGCCAATGCCGTGGACATCTACATCAAGTTGCGCTGGCCAAGTGTCTTCGAATACATCGTGAAGCACCGGCTGCTGCCAGCGTTGAACGGCAAGCTCACAGCCCTCATATCCCTGAATGAGGACAAGGCGCTTGAGCTGCTGGTGGAGAACTCTGAGGACATGGAGCCTGGCCGGGTGGTCACCGAGCTGCAGGCAGCCATGGAGGTGTGCAAGGATGACAAGGACAAAAGGCTGCACCAAAAGTGGGAGAAATGGCTGTTTCGGTACATGGACCGACTAGTGAAGGCCAACCCCCTGGCAGCCCCAGAGTTCCACCAACTGCTGGTAAGAATGTGCACAGTGTGCATATTTTGATTAGTTGATTCTTTCAGGATTTTGTACCTTAACTACTTGCTATTGTTTTTGTCACTGTTTTGCATTTTTATTTGCATCCACCCTCGGCGTTTTAGGACATGTGCTGGCCGTGTACTGGGCATTTGCTGACATGCACTTTGTTACAGCTGGTCGTCCGGACCTTGGCTGTGTGTCACCCTTTTATCTTGTTGCACGCACCGCATGGTAAGAGCGGACAAGTGTAGAGTGTGACATGCATGACAATGACATGCGGGATCAATTCCTTTGTGTTCCAGTTGCTCTAATGACCATAACCAATACAGCTCACTTCCAGCTTGAGGGCGATGACTGGCGGGGTACACGAGGACTGTGATTCTTTCCGAAGCTTGTGTTAACTGCATCAAAAGTTGTCACAGCAAGAAGAGGACTTCGGTTCTGCACCGAACTGACACTCCCAGCACTCTGCATGGAGCGACATAAAGTGAAGCCATGCGCCTTGCACATTGATCGTCGTTGTGTTCGCTTGCTCTGGCAAATGCCGCCCTTCCGCAAATGTTTCTCTGCGTGTGAAGAATGCTGAATTGCTGAATACCATGTGCAAGCGTACGTTGCAGATCTCACCATGCAATGTCGCACATGACTTAAATTACATGTAATCACATTTGCGTGTCACAATAGATTATGCTAGCCGTGCTTGACCGGAACTAAATCGCGTCATCTGTACCGCGTCTTCACCCGATTGTGACAGTGACGAAGGCAGGCAGGGTCGAGGGGTGGCGATCCCTGAACGGGAATCGTACGCTCAAGTCCACGGCAACGGTTTACAGCCGAGGCAAAAGGACAACAGACGTTCTGTCCTTTATACCCAGTCCGTTCATCAACATCCTTAATGTAATTCCTAGTGCTTCGTCATCTTTTCATACATTCAGTTATTTATAACACTCAATCAGTTCTAGCCGTAACAACAGTACGTTAGGAGTGACGAAGGCCCCTTGTATCGAGGTTCGTCGCATACCTATCTTTTCTGGATATGAAGATAACGAAAGGGACGTGAAGGTGAAGAATGTTACGCTTGCACTGAAAACCTAGAAAAAGCTAGCAAAATCTAGGAAACCTGGAGAACTAGGACATCCTAGAAAAAGCTGGAAAAAAAGCAGGGAAACCTGAAAAATCACCTATCCTCAAGGACGACCCCATCCAACCGTCCTCTTGTTTCCGTCGCCCTCCGTTTGTCGCCGAGCAACTGGAGAATTGGTAAACCTAGTTTGGGAAAATCCACCAATACTTTGTATTGCCATTGTGTGCCAGTGCTTTTCCTGAATGGGTGCCTGGCGCGCCTCAGGTGGAGCTGTACGCCGACTACGACGTGGCCAGCCTGATGGGCTTCCTGCGCAGCAGCCACCAGTACCCGCTGGACGTGGCCTACGAGGTGTGCAAGAAGCGAGGCCTGGTGAAGGAGCAGGTGTACGTGCTGGGGCGCATGGGCAACTCCAACGAAGCCCTGCAGCTCATCATCAAGGAGCTGGCGGACATGGACCAGGCCATCGAATTCGCCAAGAGCCAGAACGACGACGAGCTGTGGGACTCGCTCATAGACTGGGCCGTGGGGACCGCGGCGACGACCGGTAAGCAGTGCCAGTCCGCGAAATTCATACAATTGTATGACAGTGCGATGCGTATACGATACATTACGATGCACCCCGCTGCGCACAATCTTTTACGAACTGAGCGCGCCTTGAAACGGAAATAACTGGTGTGAAACGGGCGACAATTTGCCGGCAACGCACGGGTGCAAATGTGCATCGATTGGGTCGTCATGATTGGGTGGTCAGTTTCTACCCTTTCACTCATTGGACAGGCGTTGTTTGAGAACCAGAAGGGCCGGATGTGGTTAGATTCTTTACAGCTCGGCTTTCACATGGATGGACCAAATATTGCCTGAGCTCGATACGTGGTCCCATGCAGAATGTATGGGATATCATCCAAACTCACTCCAGACAATATCAGCCCAGTTCCGTTTCCATTCAAAACATCGAATAATCAGGCGCTGCCGCCTGCATGTCCATTTACAATGCACAATGTACTGCGGCACACTGCCGCTCTCCCCGAAAGCCAATCAAAACTCATTCGCCCGTCCGTTCACCTCGCACTCCCCTCGTTTCTTCATGGTCGTTCATGCGTCCAGCGCCCTCTGCGCATGCAGGCGACCTTCTGGACCACGTGGGCGGCATGGTGGACCCCCTCCGCGTCATCACGCAGATCCCCCGCGGCATGGAGATCGCCAACCTTCGGAACCGGCTGGTCAGGATCATATCCGACTTCAGGACGCAGACGTCGCTGCAAGAGGGCTGCAGCCACCTGCTGCGGTCGGACTGCGTCCGGCTCGCCACGGTGGGGCTTGTTTTCTTCCCCTCTGTTTTCTCTATCGCCCTTTTACCTTCATTGCTGCTGTCGCCCTCAGCGGACAAATTCGTGTTGATTGTGTTGATAGGTGCGTACAGTAGACATGGACGTGCAAATGGATATTTTCGTCTTGTCTCCCTTGCGGCTGTGGCCTGTTGTGGGATTTGGTGTTCAAGCCAGGACCAGGAAAGTTGGGAGTTGTGGTGGTATTTGCTGCTGGCGTAATGGCTGGTGCATCCTAAACCATTACCCGCACATTTCGGCGCCTTGTTGTTGTCGGCCTGCAGCAAATGCTTGCGTCCCTTATTTGCGCCCAGGCCATGCCAGCTGATGGCGGTACTTTGGCCAACCATTCGGCAATCACATGAAAAGCGTGTGCAGGAAAGTACCAGAACTTCACCAAGCCAATCGCAGTACTTTACCGTGCCATTGCGCCATTCAGAATTAGCGGCTCAATTACGCTGTTCGATGCAGTTTAACGTAGTTTAGGCAGTTCAACGTAGTTTAGGCAGTTCAACGCGCTCATTCACAGCACGCTAACGGCAACCGCCCTGTTCCGCGCGAAGAGGATGTACGGCGAGATCCGTCGCGCCCTCAAGGTCGTCCACGTCTGCAGCCACGACGCCGCCAGCCCCGAGGAGGGCGCCTGGTACGAGTACGCCACCACCACCGGCGGCCTGAGCCCCTCCGTGGAGCCCCAGCTGGAAAACGTGACCGTGCTGGACTACGCGAAGCCGCGGCAGGTCGCGCCAGGCGCGTCCAGCAGCGGCCTTCTCAGCAGGATGACGTCAGGGGGGCCGTCCAGAGGTGGGTGGATCCGCATGGGGTTCGTGGAGGAGAAGCCGGGGGATTTGGACGACGTGACTCGGTTCAGGTACATGAAGCGGGCGGCGTCGTTGAGAAAGTCCCACGGCAGCCACAAGCGCCTGGACCTGCCGAGCTTAGTGTGATTCTTTGAATTCTTGGCACCTCTTGATTGGTGGTTGGTGGCACCCCGCCCCCCGGGTGAGAATGGCGCAACAGTGCATCATAAGGTACTAAGCCTTGGATCATTTTCTCCCAAAAGGGCTGATTGTTGATGGATGGCGATCGGCGATCGAGCGATGGGCCGGCACCAAGTTTGGCAGGGGCGGGCCCGCGGCGCCACGGGCCCGGCGGCGTTTGTCGCCTCAGTGTGGTTTCGGCTGGCGGGATCGGGAGGCGGGGAGAGTCGTTAGGTTGGAGCCTTAGGGGAGGTGCGGTGTGTTTGTGGGAGAGAGTAGGAGGAGGGCGGGGAGGTCGCGCTCCTAGGAAATGTTGTGACGGTCACTGAGTTGTTGAAACGTGTCTCACTTGTACCAAATGGCTCGTTGTTCATTCCACCTGTTCCTTTCTGCCTCGTCCTTTTGTGGTGTGAATTCCAATCCAGACGTGAAAGTCTTCATCTCGATGGCGCTTCAATGGTCCATCGGGAATTGGGGCTGATGGGGAGCTGCGTGAATCCTCATCCATTGCACTCGTCAAACGAAACTGATGAACAAATGGGCCCAAGTTGCGATAAATTGGGTCAAAATGGACGGCAAGCACGTGGTTCGGGTTACACGACACGACCCCAATAGACACGTAATGTGTTATTGAGTACATGATTCATGGTTTTACTTTTATTAACATTTGGAATTAGTACAATTGATGCCGATTTTATCAATCAAGCACAGTTCAAGCGCGGGTCAGAGTTGCGCAAGGCAGATATTTTATGCCAGCGCGCGCACCAAAGGCCAGATGATCAGTCGCCATGCTATTCGCTCAAACGCCCATGTGGGATTGCTCTCCCACTGTACAGAATATGTTCCTGGAACACGAGCTGTCGTTTGCTTTCTCAAACGCCATTGTATCATACTGTTTAGCACTTCAACAGTTCTCTAGTCGTACATTGATCAGATGGTGCAGCTGCAATGCTTCCTCCAATCCTTCCGAATTCACAGAGTGTTTCTTCACATGAATGCAAACGGCGTCAGTTGTCATATACCGAATGGCTTACACGGCATACAGGTATCATTTGATGTTTGAAACGTGTTAACAACGGCCCCCACCGTCTCCAGTACATGAAACTGGCCATGGGGCCATTGGCAGACTGTGCAATGCAGTGCTGTTTGTTGGGCAAGGAGACCCGGGTGGACTCCAACCCAATTTCAATGAAAACAGTAATTCAGAAGAGAAAGCGTGCGTAAGGGCGTGACGTGCAAGGCGAAACCCATGAACCGATGCTATGCTCAATCGTATCCTCCGTACATATGGTGCAGAAACCAAGTGTCATGGGCAATTCAGCCTAGGTCGAGCTGAATTGTCAGCAAGCAGCCAACCAGGAGAATCATGCAGGAAAGCCAATGATTGGATTAGATTGTCTGTCCATCCAGCACTCATTCCTGTTCATGTCCTGGCGCTTCATGCCCATGTGCACGATACTTCTCCCATGATCCAAGCCCCATGCAGGGCACTGACTGGCGCAAGGAGTGTGTTGCTTGATGCGATGTTGTTGCAACTTTCGCGAAATCCTGAAATGAGAGGGACGTGTAAAAAAGGTTGTTCATCAAAAGATGTCGACTGCGGACATTCTTCTTGATAAAATTGGTCGACGTCGGTGATTGTTGGACTGTCGCCTTACCTGTTGGGTGGCAAGCCTTGGTGTTGGCCATCAGTGCGACGATTTGGGGCTTCTTAACAGAGTGCACAAAAGTGTGTGGTCCAGACTTAGTGAAGACACTATTTTGGTTTTGGTACACTTAACATCAAACTGACATGGGGCGGGGGTGGGGGGACAGCCATTGATGCTAAGAGATTACGCAATTGCACTAAAATCAAAACAAGGCGGGAAGATGCACAAAAACGCCGCTGATCAGCAGCAAATAGCCCATAATTTGTTGCAAGATCTCCCTCAAGCTTTCAGGCATCTAGATGATTCTTAGAATGGAACAATTTTCAGACTTTTGGGTTGCTCTCATCGCCTATGATCACTTTTGGCATCCCATTTTCGAAATCGCCGCAATCGCCGCAATCGCTACAATTTCGGCTACCTTTTCCCTTCAAGCCATTTTGAAGTTGTATGGCATTGTTAGTTATTGTTGCTGAGTCATCCTGGTATCGAAATAAGGATTGACGCTAAGGAGGGGTGGGGTGGGGTGAGGTGTAGGGGTCTGGCCTTAATGATGTCAAAATGATGTCTTCCCTTGCTGGGGTGTTTGTCCAACATGAAAGTGTCACAAACGCAACAAAACCGGAATGTAACTCGAAATGGAGAATCGATACGTATCCAATATGCAACTCACACATGGCAAAGATTATGTCCCCACACCTGTCAGAGATTGAAGCATCACACACTCAATTCATCGGCTCAGTACTTCGTGAGCTACAGTGCAAGCAGTGCGCACTTCGTTCCTTTATCCTGTACTCCGTTCACAGCAACAGTAGCACATTCTTACAATCTAACTCTTTTATCCCCAAGGCGATGGCCAAAGTACATAGGCAAGTGCATTGCTTGTTCCGCCACAGCCACCCTCACCCCCCGCCCAGCCCCCCCTACTTTGTCCCCAAATGCGGCACGCCCCGCAGCAAACCCCGCAACAGGGCCCTCCACAAACACGAGGCAAACATGTGTCAAAAGGGAACGCCGTACCCCCCAAATTTGACACGGGCACCAAATCAACCCGGTGGTCAACATCATCAGAATTCAATTCACACAACAAGGCAAAGAGACATCCTTCAGCCTCCTATTTTGCTCGAGCAAAAGCGGTGTCCATGATCAGTGCATTGAATCTGATGCATGGCAAGCAGAAAGTCCAGGCACTGGACTCCAGGAAACCACCATTTCCTATTACCAAGAAGCGTTCGTCTATGGCAACACATGGAAAGAGGTGTTCTCGCCAGTTGACGATTGGGGACCGAAGCAAAAAGCGTTTTTGCACTGCGAAAAAAAAAGGAGAGAAACAGACTTGATTTAACAACCTCGTGCTCATGTCCCCCAGGCCGGGCCAGGCCTACCCACCCCACCCCAGCAAATCGCCCGCCAATTTGCGGCGCGCCCGCGCATTACTCACCCTGGGCGCGCCCACGCCTGCGCCCTTTCCCCTCGCCCCAAGGCCTCGCAGCCTTCCAGGTATCTGACTGCAGTTTCTGGGCCGCCGGGGCGCCCTTCCGGACAAGTGCCCTCCCGCGCGTCGCGCGCGGGCCTATCCAGCCGCAGCTTGGCCTCAAGGCGATTGATCCGACCGGAGCGGTCTGGCTTGGATTCTGCTGGCGTTGATCTGTAGGGCCCTGGCTGCCTCGCCCTGGGGCCCTTAGGCTTCTCTGCCGCGGGGAATCCCGCCATTGACCCCCCTGACGCCTTCCAGGTGCGCCGCGCGAACCTGCCAAGGGCAGCTCTGCCGATCTTGGCGATGGATCGAGTTGCCGCCAAGGCTGGAAGTTTGATTGATTTTGTGGCGGGGAGCGTGGCCTTTTGGGGAGGGAGGGGCGGGGAAATTGATCCCAGGGTGGGGCGAAGGGGGGCTGAGGGGACGCCCGGCGGCTTTCCTGGGGCCCGTGGCAGCAGATCAGTCATCGCCGTGGCGCGCTGTCGGATCCATTTTGATCGTTTAGTGGCAGGGCGGGGGTTTGGTCTCAGGGGCTAAAAGGGGGAGGGGGATCGCGCACGAGGGCGGGAGGGATGGGAGCCGAAAGGAGTGCTCTGGGGCGGGCGGCGGGGCGGCGCTGGGCACCGTCGCGATGTGTTTGCCGGGATGTTTTGCCGGCGCCGACCGAAGGGCTGGGCGGCATGCGCTTTCGAGGCCGTCAGGGGGGTCAGTCGCGCTGCAGGATCGATCGCGGCTGGGCGTGGGGGGCGTCGGTGTGGGTAGGAGAGCTGCACGTTGTCTGCGAGCGCTGCGCGAGATGCGCGTGGGCTTTCCAGTGCGCGGGTGTGCTGGGTGGGATCGGGCGGGCGCGCAGGCAAGGGAGGGGCGCCTGACGGGGCCCGCCCGTCATTTCCAGCGGTGTGGAATTGGTGAAAGGTGCGGCGCCTTGATGCTGCCATCAAGGTCCTTCTGGTGAAATGCGCGCGTGGCTTGTGTGGGTGTTGGCGCGCCAAACCGCCAAAGGGTTAGTAAGAGCTGGCGGCTTCGGCAAAGAGCGCGGCGTTGATAGAGTAAGGGCCTGAGCTTTCTGCTCTGGTGCCTTTAGGGGTTCAAGTTGACAAGAGTGTGAACACAGCTCTTGACAGGCGAAGCAGGAAGTTGACAGCTAGCGGCTGGGCATGGCACGCGTTTCTTCTTGATTGATTGCAAGTGTGGGCAGCTTGGAAGGCAATTGGCGTCAGACGACAGAGTGAAGCGAATTACCAGAGTAGCGGAAGACACCACGTTCTTAGCACAATCGTAACGGGCTCAGCTGGACTGGCTGCGACACAAAATGAAAGAGGGGTTCCAAAAATTGAGCCAGGAGTGGCTTTCTGTGCTTTGTAGCTGGCACTCCAGGCAAATGCGGATACCAACCCTGCTTCTGTTCTCAATAAGACATGCCTATTGCAAGGTCGCCGCCTCATTTTATGCACCCCACCAACTGGGGGCAAATGCTGTACAGTGTTGATTCAGATTCAATGCACTTCAAGCTGTATTGCTGTATGTTCGCCAGCATTGGTGGATGGATACGCAACACAAAGCCAATGTTGATTTGCACTCGATCTGATTATTTCTGTACTACAGCGAGGTCAGAAACACCAAGGGCTCAAGCCACAAAACTGAACATTGCCCGATTCAGACCAACATTGTAGTGGACAAAGATGCTTGCAACAACTAATCTTGTGTCAGCTTTAGTGCTTGCAGGCCACTGTGCTCAAGTGCTCACAATCGTCCTACCAACTTTCAACACCATAGGTTATCACAAGCATGCATTTCTCGCTGCCTGCAACTTGAAACTCATGTTTTCTGAAGCAGATGCTGCAGGGCGGTGTCGTGACATCCATGGCACCTGGAGAGCAGCCCTTGGTGCCAGGCCAGCTGCCAAGTTCGGACGATGCCCTACCTTGTCCAGTGCCCTCTGACTGTGTTTCCATGCGGGGTCTGCCAGAAACACAGCAGCCACTCGAGCCTTGCCCCCAGAATGGCCAGCACCCGCCAAGAATGCAACTGGGGGCCGCCGCTGCCAAGCAGATCAAAGGCCACTGGCCAGTGATCTCAACAGCCCCACAAGAAACAATGAATATGGGTGCAGTGGACCACAGCACAGACAAGGTTGGCAGTCAGGTGGATGGGAGTCCTGCTGACATTGGCAAGGCAGCTTTGGTGTGGGGGGCCAGGCAGAAGACAGGGGAGGTTGTGGATCAACCAGGTGGGAACCTTGGGAGAGATAACACTGACAGTCGTGTGGCTGGCAGCACAGCCAGTAATGGAGGAATTATGCTTGCGGCAGGACACGATGCTAATGCAGGTGACGATCAAGCAGTTCAGGATCTTACAACAACAGGGGACACGCTTGTGATGCACACTGTTGGACACATGACAAGCAGTGTCAATGACATGGACACCCGTGGAGACATGCCTGTGGCGGACACAGTCCAGAACGAGACAAACATTGTTGAGAACTTGCCTACCACAGGAGACACAGCTTTGGAGCACACTGTCAGCCGTGAAACAAACGAGAATAACATTCAAGTGGGTACGCTTCTCGATACCAACAACGTGGTGGTCGGCTGGCCTCAGACTCCCATCCAGCCTACCACCGAAATCATGGCACAAGTGATGCCTTGTCTGGGCCAGGGCACAGCTCAGGCTCCACTTGGCATGGCCGGCCAGGTGCTTGCCAGCGGGCTGGCCATGTGCCCTGCCCCTGGAATGCCACACCTGCCACCATCGACCAGAAAGGATACAGTGTTCGCTCAGGTGCCTGGAACCCTGCAGGTGATGGCCAACGGCCAACCTGTGTTGATGTTGGGGGGAACACAGTACCAGATTTCGCCCCTGCTTCAGTCGGAGCCCTTCGCCCCGACAATCCCATCGACTGGGTCGCCAGTGCTTCACATGGCGGCTGTGCCAGCGTGCCATCGCAATGGGATGATCTGCCAGGGATTGGGAGCGCCTCTACTGCCGCACGCCATGCTACCGGCTGCCCGCCCAGTTGCTGGTGCAGCAGAGGATCCAGTTTCAGAGGGTAGCAGACACGCGATGCGCCTACAACGGGAATCGGAACGGGCAATGCCTGCACAGGCTGCACCACAGGAGATGAGGAATGCACAGGGCAACAGTTTGATGAACAAAGACTGCTTGGGAGGCATGGCTGCTGAGGAAAGCACAAGGAACAGCCATGCGATTGATGGGGTGTGCTTGGGTGGCATGCCTATTGCTGGAAATGTACACAACAGCCAATTGGTGAATGGGCCCTGCATCGATGGTACGGTTGTTGAGGGAAGCATGCAGAACCACCACGTGATTAATGTTAATGCCCCCTGCATGGGTGGCTTCGTTGTGGAGGGTATGCCACTCATATCAACCGTTCCCAGCATCGATGGGCAGAGTCAGGCAGCCATCCATGGGCTGCACCAGGCACCAGACAACTATGTTGATCAGAACTCCATGGGCCCCCTCTCGAATGTGCTCACTGCAGACACCAGTGCGAAGACCGCCTGCCAGGGCCAGGCAGCAAAGAATGCAACCGCTGGCCACACAGATGCCTGGCAGCCTATCGTGCACAGCACTGGAATTCGTCACAGGGGGTCAATCGTTCCACACGCCCCCCTGCAAGTCATGGCCTGCCAGACGCACGTGCTGCCTGCACTGCCGCAGGCTCCAGCGGCACAGAATCTGGACAGCCTGATTCTGACCACCACCGACAGGTACCCCTACAACGTGAGGCAGGGCTTCGCACCTGGCACAATAGGGATTCCAACGCTTGGAGAGATGGCCATTGGACAGCCCATGCCCGGCCCTGGACAGCCCGTGATGGCCATTGGGCAGCTCGCATCAGCCATTGGACAGCCTGTACCGGCCATTGGGATGCCCTACCTCCAGACCATTACCCCTGACAACCCATCCATCCAGCAGCAACAGACACGAACTGTCCTCGATCAGCAACCTGGGAGAATGGTCATGTTGACGCCCGCCTTGCGCGCCCTGAGGCAACACACCAGCCCGGCGATGGCACTCAAGGACGAGGAGCTGGGCGAACATGCACCGGGACCTTTGGGCCCATCAACGCAGAACATTGGCACAGAGGGGCAGCAATGTGGGGACGGCGTTCACCCCACCCAGCAACCCAATCAGGAGGAAGCGCCCCAGGCGTCAGGGCCGGATGGCGACGGAGGCAAAGCCAAGGGGGACGGCATGGGCGGCGGCGAGGTCGCCAGGACGCAGGGCAGCAGCCGCATGTCGGTCAGGCGCGTGATCAGGTTGCCGGCTCGGTACCAAACAGGTGAGGATCGCGACAAAGGCCGCGTGCACGCATCCCTGCCACCCTTATCCATCCAGCAGCACAATGGCCACGATGAAGCTGGCAGCATCACAACAGAGTGCCACGAGCACACAGCCATTCTTCTTCAGATTCGGTGAGTAGAGGCATGGTGCATTTCTGACTCCAAACACAGAACAACAGCTCAACAAAACAACTCAGAACGAACTTTGGAGAACCTCTTCTGGGCCTCCCTTAGAGCTTCTGAGGAGGGTGCGCCCAACCTGTGCAACCCACGGCTGACGCCAAGTAATCATGACCTGTCAACCGCCCGTCACCGAAAGGCCCACCTGCGAACTCAAATGCCGATCAATGGCGCGCTCACCGCTATCTGCCGCGCCGCCCAGACGACGAGGACTGCCCCAAGAAGCCTCGGGAGAGGAAGCGCGCCGGGCAATCCAGCCAAAGGCCCGGCGGCCGCAAAGTGGCCAGGGTCGACAGAAACACGGCCCCGGCATCAACATCCACCCATTCCGACCAGCCCGATTTGGCGGACGCCGCGCGAGAGGACAAGTGTCTTGTGGCACAGCCCTGCGGGGCGCCCGCAGCGGGGCCTCAGGTGCTGGTGGCCGTGGACGCCCCCGTGGGCGCGGGGGCGGCGGAGGAGGGCGGTGTGGCGGTGCTGAAGCCGACGAGGGTGAAGATGGAGCCGACGTCCAAGTACAGGGGCGTCAGCAAGCACAGGCAGGGGTAGGATCGGCCCAGCGTGCGTCACAAGTCGCTGGAACGTGCATCATCGTCGAGAATTCTCACGCCCCCAAGGCAACCTATGCTGCATGAGTCATGAGTCGTTGAATCATCAAGAATGCATCATCATCATCGAGAAACCTTGCATTTGAAGGCGACATGAGATGCACTGCATGGCTTGCTCCATCATCTCGCGCACGACAGAGTGGGCATGCCAGAGGCGTTTCATAAAGGGAACAACTAAACCTTGACAAAAAGCACCGCAGCGAATGGCAAGTATGAACTGTCCTGGTCCTGTTTCCAGCGGAAGCCTACAGCGTTCTTCTGACCTGCCTGCTCTTCTTGGTGGTTGGGGTGAGGTTTGAGTATAGGCTATTGATTAATAACTGTTAGCCTATGGATTTGATATTAATGAGCTGGTTATTAGAGAATTTAATACTTCCATCAAAACAACACTAATTCAGTAAAAAAACAGCAGCGCAAATTGTGTGCACGTGCCAGAAGTCAGATTTCAGACGTTCGTCGTGGCCACAGACGCACAGGCTTTCTGTAAAGATCTTTTCCAACAGAATATGCCAATGGAGCTGCGGAAAAGGGCCGCAATGCCATAGTGGCCACAGAAGACACAGCGATGCGCGTGCAGCCACAGGGCGTGCGCCAGTAGCTATTCCTGCAACCCGGTTGCCTGAAAGAGTGTGTGTCTACAGCGGCGGCGAAAAATGGGAGGCGTCCATTTGGGTGGAGGGGCGTCAGCGATATTTGGGGAGCTTCGAGGACGAGCAGTTCGCGGCCCGGATTTACGACATCGCCGCGCTGACGCTGAAGGACGACCGCGTGAGGACCAACTTTCCGAGGGAGGAGTATGATCACGCCATGAGGGAGATCCAGGCACTGGCCATGCGCGAATCGGAGGGAAACAACAAGGCAAGACGACGGCTGAACGCCACGGACAGAATTCCCTGCAGGAGCAGCGTGTCCTTGTATATGGACTTCTGCATCCAATATGAATGGAAACGTCTGTTGCTTGCTGGTCTACAGCAGCGCAAGCTGGCGAAGGATTGCAGCCCCACCCCACCCCAACCGACGCCTGGCCAGATTGCAGGGGCACACCGGGGACTTGGGTTACATGCATGGTGCTTAGTAGTACATTTGAGTAGCTGAGCGATTGCCGTACCCCGCGACTTCCTTAAACATCCCACACTGCTGATGTGTGATTTTCAACGAATCGGAAATCGTTGCATGTGCACAGGAACTGTGTGAAATGGGTAACACTCACCAGGAAAAAAAGGGCCAAATAACACGTGTTCAAACGTGTACAAAGTTTACGAGCTTGGGTTATTGCCGTGTTCTTAGCATGCAGAACACAGATGAAATGCGTATATATGTGTTCGCAAAATGTGTTTTTTTTCATATTTTTAGCGACTCTGGTAGTGGCAACTTGCAGCACAATTGCCTGGCCACTGTCCACTTCGCCAAACCATGAACTATTGATAATTGAGTTAAATGGGACTGCTATCCTGGCCCTGCTCAGAAAGTGATCTACGCATACATTCGGAGGATCAGCGACGGCTTCGCTCGAGGGCGGTCCCAGTACAGAGGCGTGTCCGCAGCGGGGCAGAGCGGCAAATGGGAAGCCAGAGTGGGGGTCTTCAAGGGCAAGCAGAATGTGCGCAACAATCGCCAACAATCTGCAATTTTCCACCTCTGCTTGCCTGAAAATTACATTGATTGTCTGCGGAACCCGAAAAAACAATATGCCGTTTGCGCAATGCACCACAGAGGGTGGCCGTAAGCTCGCGATGCCATCGTAACGACTCTCGGCGGTCAGTTTGACGCCAATTATATAATACTTGTACATTATCGCAGATAATAATAATTTACTAAGGGAAATATATTTCATACAGATATCCAATGGAAATAGCATGATTGTTTCCCTGGAACTTCTGAGTCAAATATATTTCGAGGCTTGAATGTTTCAAATTATATTTGTGGAGTTAGCGATAGCCTCAAAAATTTAAGTTTCATGGTTTGGCCCACTTTCAGTGCATGGTACTTCGTGGGAGCTTACTGTTACCAGCTTAAAAATGGCCTAAATATGATGAAAATTATTGCTAAATGAGGATTGTGTTGCATTAATTGGCCTTACTTTTACAACCACATAATGATTAACAATGATTGCTAGGAAGTCAGAAATGCCCAAATGCGATTGGAAGGAATGCGCATCTGAAACTTTCTGGCCAGTGGAAAAAAAACTTTCATTACAGATATGAGCTTGACAAGCGATACTAACCAATTTTCGTGGAATATTGGAGATTTTTCCCAGCATCCAATAGCGTCAGTAGTAATGACCGCGCTCTTTGTAAACAGCCTGAAATACTGCATTGTATTACGGAAGAAAGGTCATTCAAATTTTCCATCCAACCAATCTTACTTGAAATGGCGCTGGAAAACAATGTTATCAACATAATTGCTGCTGCCTAAATCTGCTATTCCTCAGAAGCAATATTCTGGAAGGGTTTTATTTGATATTTATACTAACTTTTTTTGTTTCTTGCTTTGATATGATATTTAGAGCTGATAGTTTCATTTGTGACAAATGAAATATAGTAGACAGATTACTTCGGAACTTCCATTGCACATCCAATGCAGATACCCTCAATGCATGGGCGCCAGTGAATTTTGGGGATGAAAGAATCCGTACATACAGTCCTACACACATCTGGAAATGTCATTATCACTCTTTCTATTGCGTTGAGTTTAAATTGTTCTTGCTTAATGTTCCAATGCTACCAGCGGTAACGCAAGCGTTTGCGTTTCACGCAGAAATCTCTGGGCGTGTACCCCTCGGAAGAAGTGGCTGCCAGGCAATACGATAGGGCTCTCATCATTGAAAAGGGCGACGCGGCAGCAACCAACTTTCCAATTTCTGACTACATAAGAGAAGTGGAAATTTATGAGCAGAGCCTCATAGAGAAGTGAGTGGCTGCCAGATTTCTCAGCCGAACGATAAGTATACATGAGCGTTTTTAGCGGGAGGGTGGTTGCCAGGGCATAGCGTTGAGTGCGTCTTTCATGGGTCTTTGTTCCTTTACGTGTTTGTGAATGGTCCTCAGGAAACCTTATTCTGAGTAGGCTCGCCTTTCAATTATTTCATGGTACCGAGTATAGCAATATGTGTGTAGCGACTGAACGGGGTAGGCGTTTGGCTGCATTGTGCTCTTCAGTTCTCCTTTCATTCAACTTCGCTCCAGTTTCCCTGCAATTGCGACCATGCATGCCCCGAAAAGGAATTTTTAACTTATGCAACTCCGAAAAATCGCTCCGGCGTCGGGACACAACCATGGCGCTAGGGCCTACTCCCTGAATGCGAAATGTTGTGCACTTCTAGTTGCCTATCCTTGGATGGGACGAAATAATACAGTGCAACCCTGTAACCGGCTCCGCTCTTTGCCAATGGTAGGAGGATTTCGCAGTGCCGAAAGTATGGCGACTACCGTGCCACTCCTTTAGTCCCTTGGAATGTATAAATAATACAGTATTTGACAACATCAAAAATTGCAGTCCTGTTTTCGTGGCAGCCCTTTTATCTCAAGCCTGACATCTATAGCCCGGTATACGTTTGTTCTCAATATATTTTGTTCTTCCTGCATTACCTTCATTGCATTTACTCATTGTCCGACGACTTCCCCACCGCAGGTGTGGAACAATCGACGGACCTGAAAGCGACTGGCTGAGGGCCTCCGCCACGCTGCCCCTGGGGAGGGTGGGAAACCCAAACAGCCGAGCACATTGCCTGCTTTATGTGGAAGATTTGAGGAAGGCCCTGAGGGGGCTGTAGATGGAGGCTGGTGGGGTGAGTGCACAGCATGTTCGATGTCGCTTTGTTCACATTATCCTTATTATGTCAACGTTTGAATCATATTATCCACACATGAATGAAAATCGCCTATGCTTTGAATGCGATAGTGGGCTCAGCCGCGTCCATGTCGTTTGTCCGATTATCATGCTTCAATTCCCTTCAGCCGTAGGAATGAGTGCAGGGTATGATGGGCGTAGTCAAAATTAGTCATTTGGACCAGTTCATTATCTTCGTAGACGGCTTTTACGTTATTGAGAATCGCGTTCTGATGATGTTGCCCGGAAAACAGAATAAACCACGTTGCATCAACAAGCCAGTTTCGATCTTGTTGTTGCGTCACATGCCCCCAGTGTGCCTGCTGTCAGCAGTGAACCGTTGCACGCTCAAACTGCTGCCTAGTGCAGACGGCAGCTATAGAAATGAAAATGCCACAACAAATTGGCTCCGGGCTTACCAAAAGCTTGTACACACTCATGAGATCCTTCAGCAACCTCGCATGACTGGATAAAGCGACATTCAGGGCGCCTACGAAGCTGTTGCAATGGAATCCAGCTGAATTTCGAGCATCGGCAACACACATTGCGTCTCAAATTCTGCCTTATCGTGCTGCCGTTACTGTGTTGTTTCCCCGTGCTCACCAATTGCTCTTCGTCACTCTGAAGCACACGTTGACTCGGCACCCCTTTTCTAGGAAGCCTCAAGAATATTCTCGGCAGTGGATCCGGCGATTGAAGAGGATTCTTTCCAACGACAAGCCCTGTCTCCTTCGGGAACATTTCATTCAAGGTCGCCGATATTAAGACACCCGATACTTCTCATGGCCATACCGCATGTTGGGAAGATGGGATAGTTGAGAGAGGGCTTGGCGGTCCGAACAATGTAGTTCGCAGACACCTGTGGCTCAATATCACTGGATTGGTAGCTGTAGAAAGTGCACGAAAGTCTGGTTCTGTACTGCCACAATTAAGACGGGCTCTAGGAGCGACGTATCCAGGATTCTGAGCTTCAAATCCACGAAGTAGTATAGGAGCTGGGAACGATGTCGAATCAATGCGGAGGGAATGGGGAGTTCCAATTTTCCGAGACGCGAGCATTTGTACGGTTGACATTGGATCAGAGGAAAGCCAGCAAAACGGCATCACAATGTAACTGAATGCGCTCAAACGAAAGCTGGTTGAATTGGTTCAGTCTTCATCCGTCGAACCGTCGTATCAGAGTCGGCAAACTCCTCATCCACGGAGCTGAACCTCTTCGTTCGGCGCCATCCCCCGTCAGGTTTGGATTTGTTAAGGGCTTTGAGCGACAGATGGCCTTCTCAGAGCAGTGTGCCGCACTCTGGGCTGATTGGGGCCGCCACACTTGGTGATGGCTATGTATGTTGGGAGCACTCAACTGCTCCGGAGCAGTTGTGGATCCACAAACACTGCCCACATGTGCGATAGCTGTACAGTTATCATATTCCATGCACTATTATGCACTGTATATTCCATGCACATGCGCTGCGACTGCCACGTGCATGGGGTGCAACATGAAGGGGCGCACCGTAGGATTTTTCACAATGCAACACAATTTCATACCGTACGCCACACGTGGGACCCATGATCCAGTCCGAGTCCGTATCTGAGATCCACCGACTACTCGAGGCGGTGCCTGAAACCTCCATGTTCATGTTTTGTTTCCTTTCGTTTCCATCCGATCTACTCCCATGCCTGTTTCTATCCGAAACAAAATGTCGTTCAATCCCACAATTGAGGCAACGCGCTGCACACACCATCAGAAGTGGTGCAGGCAATTCAATGACAATCCAGAAAATAAAAGCACTCTAAAAGCCGTGGGCCTCTTGAAAGCACCACACCATTCGACGACAACGACGGGGAAATCCGCGCCCAGCCGAACGCCAATCATGTCAGAAGGTAGGCACGCACCATCGTTGGACGAGGCAAGCATGCAGTCCCCGGAGAAACAGAATGCACCGGGACGCGTCTCGAGGCTCCAACTTCAAACCAGCGCTCCTTCTGCCACTTCTCCCAGAAGCCAGTCAGGACTTCCTCGCCCTCAGCAGCGCGACCCCCACAGTGACAGCCACGCCGAAAAGGATTCTCCCCGCCAGCGCCTGCGAACGCCCACGACAAGTCGACCCAGTGAGCTCGATAGCCGCAAACTGAGTTGCGCGCAAAGGGCGCGCACCCCAGCGCGCTCGGCGAACCGCAACGGTGCAAGCGCTTGCGTCTAGTCGACAAAACACTCACCAGCTTGCCCGGTCCACGACCCGTGGAGTGCACGGCGTCCGCACTCTCCGTCACGGCCAGCTGCTCTGCCTGGGCCTGCGCACAGGGGGACCACCACAAGGAAGTCGGTCGCTGCGCTGCTTTGGGGCGGCAGTTCCAGCCACGCCGCTGCCCGCCAATCCCCGACCAAGTCCACCAAGCGGAGCGGCAGACCGGAAAGCGCATGGCTTCGGGTGCGAAACTGCAAATCCACGAGCGCGGCATTGCTGGGTGCGCCTGCCGTGAGCGACCGCAATTTGGCATCGCAGCGGCGGGCACACTACCTACCTGGTGCGCGCCAGCCCCATCGATGCCCTCCATATGGATGGCCTCGACGCCGCCCTCGACATCCTCGGGGGCATCCCGGAGCGCCGAGAACGCATTGTTGATGTCCGTCGGCTTTGGCGGACGGCACCTTCTCTGCATCGAGGTGTGCTTGATGAAGCGCCTCGGCGACATGAAGTCATCCATGTCCTGCACGCGACGCAACCAACGCATGACCGGTCGCTGCCTTCGCTGCACAGGCGGGCTGCCAGGGGCGCAGCTCGGCCAGGCCCACAAGCTCGCCAACGGTCGGCCCGCGCCCGTCCAGAGAATCGAATCCCGCCTGCAATCGCATTAACATCGCGGATGGATTCAGCTGTGGACGCGCACCGTCGCGGTGGCCCTGTGCGCCAGAGCCGCTCCCACGTCCGCCCCAAAGCTCTCCATATTCGCCGTTGCTCGACGCGAGCGGAGGAAGGGCGGGACGCGGAATGTGTTTGGGCCGTGGCGCAGCGCCCAGCTGCCTCGGTTTTATACCTGCGCGGAACCGCCGGTCGAACGCTACCGGCTCGCGGGACCCTCGGACGGGCCGGCGGAGCGCCCACGTGGCACGGCCGTGGGCAGGCAGTGGCCGGGGCTTCCTGAGCTGGTGCTGACGCTCTGGGCCAGGTGGGCCCGGCCCAACGCAACGGGTGCACTGCCGCGCGGCCGTACACCCCAGTGCTGTTCCACAGTGTCTTGGACAAACCCACGCCCGTCCGATGTGCGGGAAGTCAGTCATTACGGTGCAAGAGCCATCGATGGCCCAGAGTGTTCCAACCTTTACGGGATCTCTGCAATGTCAGGCAGGGAATATTGCTTTTTCACTTGTGGCTGCCGGCTAGCCTCAGTGCAACCAAGCGGTGTCACGAGGAACATGAATGCACAGAAGGTGGCGCGGCTGCAGCGCACCTGAGTGGGACGCTTGCGCGGCCCGTCCTGCAGGACGGGCTGGGTCTCTACCCAGGACACCAGCTGGGTCTCCCTTTGCAATTTCTGTATTTTGGCACCAACATGCCTCAAAAAAGACCAAGAATGGCAAAGGGAAGACGCCATGTCGATTTTGGTACGCTTAGCATCAATTTGATGGGCGGCGCTAGCGGCTTGGCCACTAGGCGGGGGTGCCCTTTGTATGACCTCTTTCTCTTTTGTAACAAATCTCCCCCCTTAGCGTCAATCCTTATGTTGCATCCAGGATGACTCAGCAGCGTTACCTAATAATGGTATTCAACTTCCAGGTGCTTCTAATGAGAAAACACTGAAAGTTGTGCTGATTTCAGTGGGTTGAAAAATGGGATTCTAAATGCCATTGCAGGTGAGGCGGGCAGCCTCAATGACTGCAAATTAGTCCATTCTAAGGCCTTCGTTGAGGGTCGCGCACTTGCAGCAGGCTTAGGAACTTGCCTTTATCAGTGGCGCTTTTGGGCACCCTTCTTATGTCGACTTTGTGTCAATTGCATACTTCCTCCTTCCCAAATCAAATTGCAGTTATGATCCGTGGCCTGAGAAAACCCACAGAAACATCTGAGAGCTTCACCAAGATTTGTCACAATATTTTAATTTAAATCTAGTTTGTGTTCCCAAATTTTGGGGTCAATCAGCCAAGTAGTCAATGTGCAATGGCATTCTAAACATAACCCACGTTTCCAAAAACACCATAGTTTTCCAAGGTGGCGCTGAAGCCGCTTGTTTTCAGGCCCTGATCCATGTCACCTTATGGTCCCCAACCGCGCCAAGGGACAGACACTGGAGACGCATCTTAGACTGCAGTTCGGAGAGGAGATGCAGAGGAAGAGGGCAGGCTGCCAGCGCGTGTGGAAATGCGTGATCGAAGATCCTGCCCATGAATTCGAGACTTCACGCTGAACAACTAAGACCATCACTAGGAAAAAAAGGGCCAAACAACAGTGTTCAAACATGTACGAAATTTACGGGTTTGTTTTATTTTGTGTTCTTGGCGTGTAAAACTATTATAAAATGTGTTTTATGTGTGTTCGCAAAAGTGTTATTTGGCCCTTTTTTTCCTAGTGCATCGGTAAGCCGTTCCGGAATGCAATCACTGATCGCGCGGGAAAGAACTTGTCCCACGCATGGCAAGGGAGCGGCGGACGTCCCAAAATCTGTGGGAGCAGTTTGCAGTGGGAGTCGGAAAGATTGCCTGGCACAGCCTGCGCACAGTTTGGGGAATGGCGATGGAGGCAGAAGGCAGGCGAGATTCTCGATCACAACCTTTTGGGACAACTTGGTGCCCTGCCCTCCGCTGTTGTATATTTGATTCAGGCTTGGTTTTCACGCCGCAAAAACTGATTGCATTGACATTTTTACGTGTAAGAATAGTTTTTACGTTTTTACGCGTAAAAATGCGCAAAATACGTAAACGCAACGTAAAAACTGCCCGGTTCAAATAAGGGCAGTACATACAGACTTACGGAGTCTGAAGAGTGGCAGCCAGACGCCCTGGAAGGGGCATAAAACGAGTTTTTGTTAAACGCCATCATCGCCCTGGACAAGGGCGTGGTGGACGTTGCATCGCAGGTGCTGGAGATGGCGGAGGACTGACCATTGTACGCAACTTTCATCGTGTAACCTGGGTGTCCCAGGGAGTCGTAAAAACGTAAAAATCGCCGCAGAAATAGGACCTTTGCAAATTTACGTTTTTACGCGTAAAAACGGAAAAGCGAAAACGTAAACGTAAACGTAAAATCCAATCCTGATTTGATTCAACCTGCAGCCTTAAATGCATCTCTAAGTTGCGTCACTTTGCCTGGTGAGGGCCATTGCAAGGCGGCATGGCTCATGGCTCAAAAGTGGGTTGTTTTGGAACCACCTTGCAACACTTGGCTGAGTGAGGTGTGTTGAAAATGATATTGCCGATTTAATACTTATCCACTTGACTCAAAAATCCGGGAGCACAAATAAGATTTAAGCTAAAACATTGTGACTCAGCCCCGAACGATGGTATGTCATTGGTTAGTCTAGTGCATGTGCGTTTATGCTGTGCGTGACGTCAGGCAACGATGCAGGCCGCGACCAGAAAACGGACCTTGTTTGGTAGAAAGCCAGGAAATTGCCGGAGCTCTCCCTGCAACCAGCATAAACAGAAACGGGCACCGGGGGATGTCAACCACAACTGCTCTGCAAGGAAAACACACGGGCTCCTTGAGGCTCCTGCAGGGAACTGCGACCCCACAGTGTGACCTTTGGAAAGCGCATATACTGGTCCTCATCGAAGAGGATTGGATCTGCCACCTTCGCGCTGAACGCAGGGGAATGAGGAGGTCACTGACATGGCGAGACAAACTCGTCGACACTATATCCGGTCCACCTTCCCACCTGGTACCCCATTTTCCTTCCGCGAGCTGGCATGTCCACACGGGTTCGCTGCTCGAGCTTCAGCAGCCAAGGCGGCTGGAAAGAACACGCCTCAAACGAAGACGGCCGTGTCTGATAGCTGCTGCGGGAATGGGGCGGGAATTCGACGGCAGCCGTCTGGAACCGCAATTAGTGTAAATGCGTCCGTCACAGCAATCAGCTCTGGCGAACGCAAAGGTACAGAAAATCGAGGGCGGAATCAATCAAGGACAGGAGGCCTCCCGTTATCCGCCTTGTGCTTGACTGCAGACCCCGCGAGAGTATATCCAAAACTTGGCGGTCAGGCAGATTCGACGGGGGCCCCACAATCCGACTCGTGCAAGCTGACGGCCTCGCCCCTTCCGGCAGTGAAAGTAGACGCGCGAAGGCTTTGGAAGGCGTTCGGAAGGGCGAGATAGCGCCGTACCAATGCCTGCGGCTACGTTCCGGCTGGTTTCGGACCCTCTTCGCGACTGGACGTGTCCACATGAACTTCGAGCGCTCAAAGTTGTGGTCCGGAAGTTGGTCTTGAAGAGTGGTCTCCGGCTCTGACGCTCCGGACGCTTCTTTACCGTTCCTGCCACTGTCAATAGCGCGCTCGGAGTCCGAGCCTCGGACACGTCCGAACCGTGAGCCTCGCGGACGCCCCCTTTCCCGCGGGGAACTTCGAGCACTCGAAGTTCCTGTGCAGACGTGCCGCACACCCTGTTTCGTACTGCACGCAGGCCGCAGGAATAGGTAACATTATGCACAATTAGCTAATGGGCTGCTGGTCAGGGAGACGCGTGTGGGCGCTGTTAGGTCACCGCTGGGTGCAGCAGTCCCGTAGCTTCGGAACCGGGGAGGAGATGGACGCAACGCATTTACACAGAAGTCTCCATGTGTCATCATATGGCTCGGACATCTATCGCGCGTCCAGTCCGCATGGCGATGGATTGACAGCGCATTGCCAGGCGTGTGCCAGGAGCTTTCCCGAACGCCAGGGTTGATTACATGATCGAAATGATGATGGCATAATTGAAAGCATTCGATGGGCGTGACTGTGCAAGGCAATGAGCACAGGTGGCGCAGGCCAGCGCGCTGTAGCCAGATTGTTGCCTTTCTACTTGAGGAAGATTGTTTGTTGTGGCCCACCAGGTAGTCATGGGCAGCTTGAGCATGGCCTTCGCCGCGGGGGGTTCAAGTTTACGGGAGTGTGTACAATGAGCCAAAAGGATACTACGGGCTTGAGTACCACATTGCGTGCACCGTGTCGCTTCCTTCAAGGGACTGTATCGGTTCTTTCAAGGATCCGTATTAATTGTCTGAATTCATGCAACAGGCTGGCGCTGTGTAGTTGCTGCATTCTTATCGGTTCGTCGACCGGTGAAAGGCAGAGGTAGGTGGCCTTCTGTGTTGGGTCTCGCGGTTGCTGATGTCCACGGCACTCATATCTAGGACTCACATGCAGAGCCGCCTTTACAATGTATTCATAAAGGAACCGGGTCTTGTGCACCGTACATGTAGGCAACTCGAATATCAGCCAATGATGCGATGCACATCTAAATTGAACTTCGCTCCCAGTCGAATGTGGGGACAAGTCCCTTCCAGTGCTGTTCAGAGAAGGCAAGACACTGCGCTTCACCGTGGTTACACCACGCAACAGCCCGTGTGAGACTGCTGCTTCGCCGTTTCACCCGCCATCGCCTTTCAGGTGCGAGGGCACTGCGTTCTTCCTGGTGAACAACGCGACCTATGAAACCGCCAATCCATACCACCGAATCAGAGCCGCCGTTGAGATGTTGTAATCGATTAAGAATTAAGCAGATTCTGCAAGCAATTTCTGCAAGCCCCAGGGCTCCAGTCAAAATACTCATCCATTCTGCTGTCCTTGGCAAAGATAGCAAGCTCATTGCCTACATGTTACATTTCTTGAGTTGAAAAAATACCAATCAAGCACAGTTGCCAAAGAAAATATGCATGGTGCAACGCTAAAAATGCAGTCTTCGTTCCGTTCGGCCCGCCAGCTCAGACACCACTCCAACCGGTACATGTACAATGGCAACATCCAAGCCCCATACACCATCGCCACGTATGTTGCCATCTGCAGAGGATATACTGCGGCTAGCGCTGGGCCTCAAGGTACTGTCATTCCACACACCCGTGCAGCACCCCAGAAAGCATCACCAACACCCCTTCAACAACCAAATACACAAGCGGACACACCCCAAGACAAACCGTATCCTTACCGTTCCATTCCCTTCTTATCCCTTCCCTTGCATCATTCTTGATCTTGTTATCTCTTCCTTTTACCTTCTTCCACCTCTCTCAAACCCTGCTGCCCAGTCATCGAGCCCAGCCTCCTTCCACGGATTCGTCATCGGCGCCCCGCTTCTCTCGTATATCGACCTGGCTATCTTGCAAGTGTGATTACCGTACCTACTTTCAGCTCTTTCATACACTCAGTGACGATCTTGCCAGCATTCGCACAGACGACCATGAGGAGAATCCATCTGCGTGTGGTCACCCATGCACCTTGCTTTTCGTTCGCCATTGCCGTTTGCGACTTCGCCAGCAGAGCAGGTTCATCTCAGTTCTTGCCAGGAGGGAATGCGCCAATGTGCGGCCCATTTCTGGCTTGGAAGTCCAACAACACGCGTGTGAGGCCTGCCCACTCGCCTCGGTGGTTCTCAGTGGCCGGCGCAGCCTTCAAACAGTTTGGCCTTGCAGGGCCCCTCCTCCGCGAAATGAGCGTGCTTGTCACGCAGATTGATGGGCTTCTCGCACAGCCAGCAGAAATACTTGCGGCAGTGCAGGCAGCTGTACATGCACGAGCACACAGGCCACTCAGGGGATGGCAAACGGATGCTGCAGACATGTTTGGAGTTCTCTTGCCAAGGAACGCAAACATCATATTTTCTTGTGAGGACAGTCCACGCGTTGACAATGCGCACACAAGCACAGTTAGTGTCTTCTGTTGCTGTTCAATCTTGGAACAACAACGAGTTCATGTTCATGCACCGGCTCATGCAAATACTCAAAAGATTCCGCGTTCAAGCATCAATCCCCTAAAGGGCCAACAAGCGCACGCCAAGGAAGGCAAAAGGCAGACAAGACCCTCTTTCAAGGTGCCACATTGTCAGTATCGCAGAGGCATGCAACAAGGCCAGAGAAATGGAAGCGAGTAGAGGCAGCCGCCCAAGAGGGTTCGATCCAGAACAATCAGTACGTGACTCCCCGTCAAACCATGCGAGTCGGCAAGAAATGGCAGTGAGAGCGCAGCTGACATTGCGATGTGAAACAGCACATTGATAAACATGAAAGATTGCGTTGGCGCATAATGTTACGTTATGGTTTTCAACATTTTGGGCACTCCAAGGGGAAAGATATAAGCAAGTGGGTTTGACGACCCTGGCACCAGAATGGAGGACCAAGCACGAGCGGCACTGTCCAGAGCACACATAGCGCGAATCGAAAGTCGCATGACAATGCAGAGCTCTGCATGCAGAGAACATGGCCACAGTGAATACTGTGCGTGCGCTGCAACGTTTTCAACGCGATTCGCAACTAATTAACATTCTGACTGTAATCATTTGTACCAATATTTCCATGGCTCTTCCCTAATATTTCATGGCACGGCTGGCACACGCACGTGATGGCATTGCAGCTCGCCGGGTCGTCCTTGGTCCCGAATTTCTGGCAGTTGGGGCATTTCTTGACTTCTCCTTTCCTCTTCATTTCCTCAAATAGGTCGTCAGCCTATGAACAGGCCCAAGGCATCTCAGTCAACCCCACCAGCACCTTTCGAACAGTGCCGATGCTGGCAACAACAGGCAGCAGTCTGTCGACAAGTGGGGCTTCCCGGGAAGGCAAAAACCCAATAGCGCCTGCCACGAGGAATTGGCACAGTGTTGTACTACCCCGTGGGTCACAGTCTTGAGCCACATCCCCCAACACCGGCAGGAGATTTGCATCTCGCACATTGGCGCTCATGGCGATCGTGTGCTGAAAAATCAGCATGCAGGCAAACACTTAACGTCTCCTTGCCGACACACGGGAATCTACACTGTACAATGCACTGACCAGGCCTAATGTGCTGCCATTGCATTGCACATAGGCAAGGACGCACCTTTTCATTCTCTTTCTGCCACTGTCTGTACTGCTCGCAAGTACTGCCTTTGTGCCAATCCACGTGACATTTGGCGCACCACTGGTGGTTGCAGCAAATGCACGTGCAGTGGTCCTGCGCGTCGTCAATCTCAAAGACGGCTCGGCACTCGGGGTTGGGACACCGGACCATGTGTTCGTTCGTGTTCACAACGAAGTCCATCAGGATCCTGTTGTATCTGCTCAGCACACAGAAACAGGCTAAGGGCGCAGTCAACTGATCCTTTGAAAACTCACCGTGAATCGGTGAAAACTAACCCACAACTGCAAAATGTGGGAAGTTCTGAACAGGGGAAATGGCAATTTGTAGGCCAAAGGGGCAAGCAGGAAACAGCCTTGGTTGTGCATCTGGAAGAAGGAGCCCACCAGAACATCCTTCCAACCTTATACCTTTCTTGTCCTAAATCTTGGCCACACAAGCATGTTTTCCTTGTATTCAATCTGTTTGCCTGTCTCTCCACTCCCATCTAGATTGCAAGTTCGCCCCGCCTTCCGTTCTATCTACCTTTTATTCGGTACATTCATTTCATAGTCCATTTTGTGCTGCACCAAAGCCGTCTGGCACAACCACGGCACATATTCGTACGGTGCCTGAACATTCATCAATGATTCAAACCCAGCATGAGAACAACGATTGTTGTGCCACTGGAGAAGCATTTGCAAAGACATGCCAGAAACATGAAAGATGAAAATGAAAGATCGGCAAACCATATCCCATAAATGAAGCAAGCAGTGAAGCAAAATCCAGTGCAACAGATAGAAAAGAACAGAAGGACAGGAAGACAATACTCCAAGTAGATTATACAAATGGAGAGTGGTGCAACATCTGTCGTGCAAAATGCTGAAACAATGTCACAGACCTGGAGCACTTGCCTGTGTCTGTGTCAAGCTGCATGGGGATTCATAACGGCAAAGTAACATACAACAATTTTTCTAAATTAGTCGAATTTTGGGCAGGAAAACAAACCTCAAAGAAGTGTCCAATGGCAGAGGAGGCCCCACCCTTGTTATTGCCAAGTCAGCAGCAACTCCACCTTATCTCCACTAGCACAGTCCACTTCATTCCACTGGTTGGACCCATACTTTGTTCTTCGTGAAAGTGGTAAGACACTGCCCAATAAGCTCACTTTCTGCTCAAGTTCCAATTGTTGAAACCACTAAATTGATTGAATCGTTACAATGCTGAAATCGTGATTTAATGGTGTACTGGGTAGGCTGGACAAATTCTGGAATTCTTACCAACTTTTCAGCGCCATACTTTTGTCACTGCCACAGGCTTTTCCACTGGGCACCATGACTACCCATCTATGTATTCTGGCTGAAATTGAGCTGAAACTGAAACTGTACTGAGCATTGAGCATATCTGCTGTTCCCAACATTGTCAAAGGGATGCTGTCCATCATCACCTTGCAGGTACAAGGGGCAGGGCTTTGTCATGCCCATACAAGAAATGGAATCAATCCCATACCTAATTTTTTCTTCCCCTTCCAGTACAAGGTCCAGGTCGCTGTCTTGCAGCATGCAAAAACCCTCATTGGGATTTTCAAAGACCTGTGAAGGGTACCTCCTGGATGGGCAGCGCTTGCATGCGCTCCCCTTGCACTGGGGGCAGACCAGGGGGAACTTCCCACACCTACAACGTCACATGCACAAGCCATTGGACAAGCCACTTGCGTGCATTCTTTTGCCACCTTTAGGGAAATTGAGAACAGCACTGGTAGCATCACAAAATTCGTCTCCTTTTCCATCGTGCAGCTCAGACGGATTTGGCCCATTTGAAAATTTCGTGTTTTTCTTTTTTTTTTTCTTTTCCTTTTTTTACCATGCGAGTTTACACAGTTGAAGACTTTCTTGCCGGGAGTGGAGGCAGATTACTTTCTGGCATTGCTACTTCATGATTACTGGAGACTAAACGATTTGCAAATGGTAAACTCCAAAATGGCAAAAAGGTGCAGGGAACAACCACCAACACCTACTTCAAGTCTTCCTGCACCATGTGCCGAGCACACTGCAGGCACATTTTGTGTTCGCACTCCGATATGCAGAACACATCGTCGATTGGCAGGTCCTCCATGCAGATGGGGCAGGTGAACATCTCCACCTCGACCTCCTGCACTGCCAACGAATTCAGCTCATCGATCAGCTCTTGTGTTGCTGCTTCGATGCCACCCAGCTGTGCGATCATGTCAGGTACAGTCAGCTGCCTGTTCTCGTGGTCTACAAGACTTAGGAGGTCCGTCATCGTGCCATCTGCAACAAGGATACGTCTTTGTTCGCTAATCCAGCGGCTCAGATTGGTGTGCATGTTCCTCAGGGCAGGTAGCTGGAGCTGCAGTGTTCCGCACTCGTTGCTGAGCTCTTCAATGGTGTGGCCTTTGGGGTTGCCAGACCTGTAGCTTTCCAGCCGTTTTTGGATGAAGTCCAATTCCACGTCAGCTTGCCGAACAGCGCTCCGCAGATACCTGACATCTGGTGCAGGAGCAGTGCAATGTCACAAGATCAATGGCCTTCTGCAAGTGCTCCAATCTTCACTGCCAGCAGTTGTGAAAACCCACAAAGCACCATCAATCAGCGGCCTGTTGGTATTGGATGCTGTTTAAAGCACAAAGTACGTTCCCACTGAGGCTGATGTTTCTGGTCCCCAACCCTTGGTGGAACAGTCAGAATAATGCCAATGGCATAGTACTTTTGCAGGACCTTGAGTTGCAAAGTCTTTGCGCTTTGTACATCCCTGTTGGGCAATAACGCCACTTCAACGCAACATGCCCTTTGCTGTCTGAAGGGCTGTTTTGGGGCATTTTGTGCGACTTGTGCACGAGTCCCATCTCTTCTGTGAGGGCAAGGGTGGCCGCTTGGAACTTTGTTGCGAGTGAATACTCTGGAATCTAATGAACCTGCAAGCCAACCGTAGCAGGCACCATACTATGAGCGCAGGCACAGCCTGGGCAGTCAACGGACATGGCGGCAGTTAGACCATGTGCAATGTAGATTGGAACAGTTAAACTGAAGCACAGATGCCGCCGCTTGCGCATTCAAGCCAACGAGTGTGCATTCAAGCCCTTGTTTGAGTCCAAAAGCAACATGCTATGTACTGCTGGTGCCCCAGTCCTTAATTATCACAACTGGAAGGCCAATGTAGACTGCCTGTGCAGCAATGGAGGCAAGAGAGCAAATGTTACCAATAGGTGATTCCCAAAATAGCTTTCATAAATCACGGGGCGTCTTGCCCTTTGGGACAAGGAAAAGTGTGCGCAGCAGTTCTTACTCCTATTTGGCCATGCAGCGCTGGTCACTTGCAAGAAACGCTGAGTGTCAGCATTCCTGCACCAGCGTCCACCAGGCTGGTCAGGTTGCCAGAAGCCTGACATCTTTGCACCCAAAACTGTCGCCATCGACCAACTAGTTGATGCCAGAGCTTCATTTGTGAGAGCACATGCAAACGATGCGGAGCCACAGTTATTGCAGACAGGTTCCCGTCAAAAGGGGTGTGGAGCAAGGGTGTTTCTGAAAAGATTCAGTGAAAAATCGCGTTCTACAAAGGTGCACCACCTTTCTCAATTGTGCTCAGCACATCCTCGTGTTCGTGTCGTCTCTTCTGCCGCTCCATCCTTTCCTCTGCATCGCAGCGCACGAAAATTCAGCCGCCCCCAAACCGCCCGATCCCAAACGTTCTCAGGTCGAGGCCAAACAGAGTCGCCACTGGTGCCGGGGATTCAAGAGCCAAATTGGGTCCGGGGCACCAACCAGCCACTTCGGTCCATGCGCAGAAGAGCGCATGTCATCAGTCTTAGGCCGGCCCCTTGCAGAAGCGTCCGCAACTGTGTCCAGCGGCAACTTCTTTGAGAAACAGCGCGATTCACAAACCCTGACAGCGGTAGACTCTAGGAACCAAGGCTAGCAGCTTGTTGACTCGAGCAGCAATAACCGTGCTCGCAGCCTCTGACTCGAGCACACAACGCCGTGAAGAATCCGGAAGGATGTCAGCAGAGCATCGGTCGCAACAGCTCATGCAGAGAAACCTCCTGATCCCACAAGGTTCCAGCTTCGTTTTGTAGGGGGCCGACAACACCTCCGAAACCACCTTGCGCGAGAAAACCGTGAGCTTTCCCCGCCGCGCATGGACCACCCGACGCGCCCCTTTCGCGCTCCTGAGCCGTTTTAAGGCACCATGCCTCGCCGAACGCGCTTGGAGCGCCCACTGGCATCGACGATCCGGTGAAAACATCTCTGCCTCCCCAACTGAGAAGGTTAAAAGCGCCCATCGCCCCTCGTCGGGGCAGCGGCTCCGTATCTCCACGGGACAGACAAGCAAGGAGGAATCCAGCGTCGGCGCTCAGAAGTGACAAGAATGGGCAATTCGTCAGGAACACGATTCGGCTTTCGTTCCAGCGGTGAACACTGCAAACAGCGGCGGCTGCCCTGGGGCCCGCCGCTCCATCGCATCCCGGCCGCGACGACGGCAGATTTTTTTCTTGTTTGCTCAGGTGCCAATCAGCCACGCCCAGGCAGCGACAGCAATGATCCCCAAAGGCCGCTCTTTCCGAAATGCAACGCGGCACTGCGGAGTAGCTTCCCCTGCTCGCACGCCCTCTCCCTGCCCCCGCCTGCCCTGCCCGTCCACAATTTCCGCATCGACACAAACAAGAGCACAAAGTTTTCTCCGCGCCATCGACCCCCCACCTCTGTCCATGTCGCCACGCACGCTGTCGATGCCCATCTTGATGTCGCTGAGCATGTCCATAACGTCGGCGAGGTCGGCGTCGATGCTGATGCTCGCCGCCAGGCCATCGTCCGATCCCCCGTAGGAAGACATCCCGCTGCTCCCGGCGCCAAACCGACACTCCCACCCTCTGAAACCGGGCGAGGTCCCAAACGCGCGGCGCCAAACCAAAAGTGCGACGGGGTGTTTTGGCCGGGGGCAACCGACCCTTGCCTTTGTACGTGGCTGCCAACGTGGCAGAAGAAGAACAGAAGGAGGCTCAGAAACGGGAAATGGCTCCAGGAAGGAGGTGCCTGCCCCGTCACCCCTTCTGCCCACCGGGACTAGAACCACGCCAGTGCATCCCAGCCGCCCCCACTTTGTTGGCGAAGGACCCTCTCGAGCGACGCAGGCGGTGGTCCGCGAGTGAAGCGAACCGGAGGCAGCAGGCGCTCGAGTCTGGAGGGGCTGGACGGGCGCCTGGCACCCTCCCGGATGGGGTCTCGCAGCGGGGATCAGGAGTGGGTTGCCGAGAATCAGGGGTGAGTTGCATGTTTGGGTGCCATCTTTTGAGCCTTGCCTTCCGGACGCCGCTGGGGAGTGAAGTGGGTGTTTTTCGCCGCCATGGATGGGTGCAACGGGGGGGAGAGGAAATCGGTGGAGGAGTTGGGGGGTTGAGCGCGGGGCGGGGTAGGAGAAGTGCGGAGAGAATCAGGCGTGGGTTGTGAACTTAGGCGCCCTGTTTGTTCCTTGTCGCGCCGAAGCCTTCGCGGGGCCGAATGGGTGTTTTCTGCACGCCGCGGACGGGGGCGAGGGGGAACATTTGGCGGAAAGGGGAGGGAGGGTGAGCGGGACTCGATGGGAACCTGGTCAACGAGGGTGGTGGCCGAGCCCTCCTGGAAGCGGGAGCAGCTGACAAGGGCTGAATGTGCGTGCCCTGTCCCTTGGATGGAATTCCTGCTTCTGGGAGATTGACGGGTCGAATTCTTCGGCCACGCTGCTTTGGTGGCGTCCAGGCGTTCTAATCGGCTCGTACCTTGCGCAGGCCCCAAGACGAAGACATGCAGGACGCCCACGAGAAGTTGGTCGAGATTCGGGTGACCTACTTCGTCAAGGCCAAAGGCGGGTGTCTTTCAACGGCGGTGCCTATGGCCCCGCCCCCCTCCGCGCACATCTCGGGAATCAGCGCTCCGTTGAACCGTTTCCTTCTGTCGATTGTCGTACGCCTTTGGAGGTTTCTAAGCCGGTTTTCGAGAGCGATTCATAGCGTTAAACGCTTTCCTTGGGGCGTGCGTAAAAATCATTGATGTCGGCCTTCTCTGTAAATGGCACGAAGCCTCATGTGGGAGCCTCCCTACTGTTCGGTGCCCCCTGCAGCCGGTACCCCGCTCTGACTCTCTCTCCGTGTGTCGCTCGGCAGAGGTGACCATGATGCTTCAGTCTGACGACGGGGACTGCAACGCCTACAACCAACTTCAGGAGACCAATCCGGAGTCCGGTCGGTTTAGCTTGACCCTTCCACGGCGGCCCCCAGGGAGGCTCGCCTTCTTCTTCATCATCGACGGTAAGAGCGGAAACGCTCATAGGGGGGGGGGGGAGGGGCGGCGGGGACCTTGTGTGCCGGTTCCTCAAATCCTGACTCCTGTTTAACAAGGAGGGCACAGGGGCCCACACGGGAGCCCCTCCTGAGCAGAAGTCGTGAAGTGGGACTGTTTTTACCCGCATTTGGGGGGTTGCACAAACCCTGTCTGGGAAAGGCATCAGCCAAGGGTGCAAGTGGACCCGTGTCGAGATGGCGAACTCGCTGGTGCATTCTGTTGTTGTGGCCTGGGTTGTTCACATCCTGCTGACTACTGGCACCAGTGCTGTGCATCACAACTGATGTCCGTGTCGGCAAAAATGCTGTTGCCATTTGTTCATGCTTGGATCTCCTCCGACTGCATTCCCAAAGAACGAGACACTGTCTTTTCCTGTCTTTGGTGGTGTTGGACACTGTTTGGCTGTGCAAATCTGTTTCCACAACAAGTTCATGTTCCATTCCCTGCTGAACCATGGCACTCAATGCATCTAGTTGTTCTTTTGCCGCAGATGACATTACAGTTTGTGAGAATTTGGAGCACCTCACGACATGTGAGCCCAGCGTGAACGAAGTGGAAGTTCCAGACCAAGAGGTCTTTGACTTGCAGTGCTGGAACTGCCCCTTTGTGTCAAGATTCGCAAATGAAGCGAGTCAGGTGTGTGACAGATCCCGTCACAGCATACATTTCACAAATTTGGTGGTTTGTGAAAGGTTTGTTCTGTATTCTACCTGTTCACATGTTTAGGCCACAGGGGAGATTGTGGGTTTTAGTGTTCCGTGCATAATCTTTCGTCTTGTTGGATGGTGTGGTTAGAGCATCTTTATCGGTCGGTGCTATTGTTCCGGCGGAGCTATTCGGCTATCCGAATAGCTCCGCACGTGTAAAAAACCATCATTAACGGTTGGGGACCAATAACTCCCCGATAGCTCCCCCGGAGCTATTCGGCGCCCAGCGGCGCTATTTTGGCCCCGAATAGCTCCGCTCGAGACCGAATAGCTCCCCAGAATAGCACCGGTGCTATTCGCGCAGAACGTTGTAGTGCTGCCGTGACGCTATTCAGTGTAGGCATAGCACCCACCATTGCGGATGCCCCCAGGGGAGCAGTAGCACCGGCGCTATTCGGCAAATGCCGCCTTAGTAAGGTGCAGCGGCAGCCAATGAGAACCGTTCCTGGATAACTCCGCCGGTGCAATAGCACCGACCGATAAAGATGCTCTTAGAGCCTTGAATAATGTGTATCCACTATTGCACTGAATCTCCTTGCAGGTGCCTGCTCATGAATTGCAAAGCTTTCAGCTTGGGTTATCTGTTTGTACCAGTCATATAGAACACAGGCTTCTTTTGGCATCTGTGGCGGCAACCAGAAAATTGCATTGAGATCAAATACTGAACTTGTGTTTGAAACACATGATGCTGCCGTAATATGCATTCTTCCAAAGTGCATTCCTAAGCTCTGAACCCTTGCATGCCCTGTTGGTGTGCTCAACCTCGTTGCTTTGAGACTGAGTGTTCATCTGGATATGAACACCTGTGGTGGCTGCACAACTGACTGCACTGCCTTATTCTCTAGCACAAGGCCACAGCTGTTTGGTTTTGGATGGGAGCTGGACCTGAAACCTTGAGCATTATGCAATATTTTATAATAGAAAAACAACCAGAAACGAAGAAAGCTGCTGTCAATATCCTCAAGCCCACTCCAGGTGATCCTGGATGCGGGATACACATTCATTCCTTCACAGGGGAAGGACAGGTACAGCAGGACAACGATGTGTTAGTCAAAGGTGCAGCACTGTCAAAGAGTTCCAGCGCTTATGCTGTGTACTCACAAGGGCAGTGCTTTGTCAAAACTGGACCAGTGTGGTGAAGCAGCACTCCCGAGTGAGCACGCTCATCGTTCAGGAAGCCTCACACCCATCCAAAAGGGCATGCGGTGTGCACCACTTTCACACTGTACATGTGCACCCTCTGCAAGCCCTTCACACTGTTTTCCATCATCGGTAATCGTTTGAGCAGGAAGCGAAATGTTGCATATCCCTTGTTGCACCATTCCCCATTCCCCGTAATGAGACATTTGGTGTGCTTCTTGTCCATATTGTAGATGATGGTGCAGAATTCCTGCAACAACAATGACAGTCCACTCTACAATGCTCTAAACTATTTGGACACTCTTTGCGGCTGAGCGAGGTATCTTTTTCCAGCTTTGCATGCCATCTCGTGTTGGCATGCATGCATCTGATGAACCCCAGGGCTGGGCTGGAATTGATTGCATGTCTTTGACAAGGCAGCCCTTGTATGCACGCATCTGTGCAGATTTGCACACACACAAGATATGGGGCTGCGATATTGCTTCGATTTTGTTTTGATGTCACCTTTGCCTTTGTGTTTGGATATGTTATCTATCATAGCGGTAAATCGTGTTTCAGCTCAAAACGAGGAAAATGTCATTCTGTGATGTGCTGCAGTCAAACCCACTGTCCGTAGTCCACCATAGTCCAGATATTTCTGCCTCTCAAGGCAACAGTGCTTCCAGACACTGTTGGTGCCTGCGCACTTGCCAAGAGCATGGGGTCCAACTAGGCATGAGAATGGCACACTTGCCAAAAGGTAGAGTTAGCAGTTGTAAGGTAACCTATACCCTTCGGGCAATGCACAGTCCCATTGGCTGTGTGAACGTTAGAAGAACGCCTTGTTTTTCCAGAGTATTCGTGCTACTCATGCATACGAGGGAGTGGAAACTGATATTCTGGTTGAGGTTGCCCATGGCCATGGCGTGATTGTCTTGATTACATCGTGAAAGCATTGTGCAGAAATCTATCCCCAAATTGGAGTAATCAATACCCTTTTTTGTTGCAGTAGATGCCACTTTCAGACTGACCTCTTGTTTGTTTCATGCCACAGTACACGCAATCGAGTCCATCTGCATGCACTGCAATCGCAATGGTAGCTGTGCGCCAGTAAGTGTCAAGGGAATGCCCATACTCTTTTGCTCGCATGTATACTTGTACCTGTTGAGATACATATTGCAAACTTGAATCATAATCATAGAAGCGCAGCTGCCACCATTAACAAATATATTCGGCCATTTTCGTCACTCTGGGGCAGCTGCTGGCAGATAAACCTGACAGAGTACTGTGACAGCCTATATGGGAGGGATTTCTTGACACAGATGCTCCTTTAGTGAATGTTTTAATGAAAAGATTTAATTAAAAGATAAAGTAAAACTGGTTAAAGAAGCCCTGACGCGCTGGTGACCACTAGGGAAGGGATGCACACAGAGATAGCCACCCACTTCAACTAGCCACCTAGTTCACTCAGGGTTGTGTAGGTGTCCACGTAATATAGAGTGTCAACACCAAACAACTGTGTCGTCGTCCTGCCTTGGTAAATCCGCTGTGCAGTCACAACCTGGAGTCGGATCACTAACTGGGACTGTCAGTGTCCACCTGAAACTGAAGGAATAGTGCATACGCTCACCCCCAAAGGCCTTTAATCACAATCAATCTAGTTGGTGTTCTCATCACATTTGTGGGTGCACTCCTGCAGTCTTCAATGCTAATCTTCTTCTAGATGGCTATTGATTGCAGCACAGGGACAACCATTGTTTGGTTCCCTTCTGGGGTGATGCCCAGGTCATGCTCTTCTAAATATATATGACAAATTCTGAAATGCTGTAAACAACAAGTGTGGAGCTGTTGTAGATAATGTTTTCTTGTCTGAAAATCTGATGCCTGACAGGGAGGTACTGTGTGAGCACAGCACATTCTTGACTGTGTGAAGGTGTTGATGACAACTGAGTGTTATTGCATGCAACAAGTTCCATGAAAGGGAAGATTGGTTGGTCAAGGGGTGCTGGTCAATTGGAGACCTCATATGGGTAATGACGATGCCTCATTTACCATCGTCCGGTGTGCATTCTTAATCGCATTTTCCGTGCTGCAGGATGCTTGAACGAGGTGCTGCACTGGATGAGCGAGCGATCGCCAATGTCCTTCGTGATGGTGGAGGCATCTATGACTATGTTATGCAGAAAGTGGAAAAGGGTGGTGTGGAACATCTGATGCCCCAAGAGGTGGGTTCGTCAGCTATTCATCATCCCCAAGAGAGCTGCTCATAATCCCCAAGAAAGCTGCTCAACGTCCTTGAAAAGGGCTGCTGTGTGTCCAATGTCCATGTTCACTTTGCTTATGCTGCTTGGATGTTCATTTATTTTGCACAGCAATTCCCCTACTTCATGTATCCTTATAGGGACATCCTATCCTCCGGGCTACAGTGAGAGAAATCCGTTTGTTGCATAAGTCAACATGGTGGCAACACACAGCCCTTGCACTTTGCAAACGATGGTGGCCGCAAAACCACACAATCAAGCATTGTTCCAAATGTCCATCTGCCCCCAATTGCATTGAATAGTTTCAATAAAAGATGAGGCAAGGGACGCGAATGTCGACTTTACCTTTAATCACTTTAAAGTTCCTTGGTTGTGATTTTCATGTCCTACAAGACCAATCAATGCATACAAAACACCAGTGTCCATGCACAGAACAGAGTAGCACATCCTGTTCTCAAAATGCACAGACACATGTGTGATGTGCTTTGGCATCCCCTGTACAAAAGCAAAGCACCTGAAGTCCCAGGCATGACCACAGAATATGGAACAGGACATTGCAACAGACATCCTGTGGAGCAATTGTCCAGGCTCGCTGGAACTGCCATCGTGAGTGCCAGACTGCCTGCTTGATGGCGTGGACAATTCATGCGATTACATGTGCCAAGACATGGCAAAGCACAGCCCTTGCGCTTGCATTGCAAATAAGGGCGTATTTCTGTCTGGCTTGTTTCATTCCGAAAGTCAGTACTTGCCTGTGTCACAGGTGATGGAGAACTGGCCTGCCATGGCTAGTGCCATGGTCTACCTTGGGTATCAACAAAGAGAAATCGAAGCAAGCAGTTTTGACATCATGCAAGACCTGGCTGCTTGGGTTGGAGTGACTCAAGAGCCGATTGGTGCTTGTCTAACATTGAGGAGTATGACTGTTGCGGTGTGCTTTACAGCAGGTGAGATGTAGTTGTTTTGCCAAGGTTGGCAATATTTTGCCAAGCTGTGTCAGATTGCTGCCAATGTGCGAAGGGAAAGGTGTTGGGCATGTGTCATAAGAGTTATTCCAGAAGGTTGTACAATTCCCCTTGAGCTGCATTACCTGTGCAAAGTCGTGCATCCTGTTGATTGCTGTGCACACAATGTTGCTCAAAGCTTTTAACCACACTGGTCACATAAGGGGCATGACAAGACGCTACCCTTGAACCTTGAAGGCGAAGAGCCATCATCATGGCATTCTGTTGGACATTTTCATGTGTAAACTTCGTTCTTACACCACCAGTGCTTTTGTCCTGTAATGCCACCAAATCAACAAATCACTGATTCAAATCACTGATTTTCAGTTGGTCCCTTGGAACATTGCACATCCATATTGGTGGGTCTTTCTTTGTCTGGCAGTTGTGGTTGAAAGATTTTCCACATGCAAAGCTGTGCACTGCTCTACACAGCATTGGTAGGGCAAATGAATGAGAGCGAAGCTGTACATGGGAACAACCTGTTGCAGACATCATCGGACGTAGGTTGCAAGGTGAAAGTTGCACTGCTGGGCATGTTTGGGAGTCGATGTCGAAGAATTAAGTACCCAGTTAATGGATCCATCATACAAAATTCATGTGCCATTTTGGCAGTGTCAATAATAATAGTAGCGTGTAATATTGATTCGATTTGGAACCATTATATGCATATGTTGTTGACATTCTGGATTGTGAACCTTTGTAAAAGATCACCTTGTGATCACTTGGATCCCTGTGAAATTTTCATACCGAACCCTTACTTCTGGTCGTTTTCATGTCCTCACATGTTTTGCCTTTGCTTGTCATTTCGCAGGTGGTGGCATCTTCATGTTTGACTCTCATTCTGAGCGATACAATGATGGCCGCCCCAATGGCGCGTCTTGCTTTGTGTTCAGAAATGTGCAACAGATGCAGAGATTTCTGCAAGAACGCTTTCCCATGGTGAGGGAGGAAACCTGTTGCTCTCCACCTGTTTTGCTTTGTGTAAAAGTGTATGTGTTGACATTAGCTAGGGGCAACTCTGCCTGCCTCATGCCTGTCAGGTGGTGAGCAAACAGTAGGAGGGACGATAATGGCGACTTGCCACCATGGTTTCTTCTGTGTTGGTTTGCCACCTGGCAGGCAATTACAATGTGCATAGAAATGTAAACATTCTTGCTTCTCAAGCTGAGAATGTGGCAGTGTGCCTACAAGAGAATAGGTGTTAGGTGACTTAAAGGTGCACAGCTGTTTGTTCAGTGGACCTTGAACTGCTTGTCTTGGTTGGAAGAGAAGTGAGCAAAGCCCTGCACACGTGCCCTGCAGAAGAGTGTGTGCAAAGGTGCAAAGGCAGTGCTTTGTCCCTTAGGTTGGGAGCACAATCAATTGGTCATGCTATGCTTTGTCTTCAGATTGACGGAGTGAATGACTACATGATGAATCTCTGTGAGATCAACGTATATGCACGACATTCTGTAAAATCGTCAGAGACATGCAGAAGAATGGCGAAAGAACTATTTGGGACAGCTGATCTGTTTGATGGTGAGATTGTTGACAGTGGCTGGATTGCAAGGTTGCGATACCGTAGTCTCCTCAACGCACATTGTCTATTTGATCTCAGACCTCTTGTGCGATAAAAGTGCTGCACAGTGCACATAACATTGCCAGTACTGGTGCTCGCACTTCCAGCTCCATCATCAAACTGCCTTGCAGGCTGCACACAAGTTCTTGTGTGCTCGCGGATTGTTTTAACTTTGTCAGCATTTCATCCGCCTGAAGAAATATTGTTAGCCAGTGAGCGGTTGCATGACCACTCTGCAGGTGCACAGAGGACTGTGCAAACTGTGAGTAGATCCAGGATTAAGTTACTTTATGTGACTTCTGTATGTGCAATAAATTCTCAATCTTAAGTTGGTGTGACCCACTATGGAATTCGGTTGTTTGCAAATGGTTGTCCATTCCCATTCTGGACAATCTGTGTGCGTCCTCCTGCCCAACATCACCATTCAGGTTAGAAAGTGTTTTTCTTTCACTTTTTTCCGATGCAGTCAATGGATTGCAAACCGATTCCACTGCCACAAATCCCTGTTTGCAGCAAATGCACAGCCAAATATTTGTTCCCTCCTGTGTGAGTCCCTGCTGCTATCCACTGCTCAGAGGCTGCAAGTCACAGTGACCTGTGTCTCAAGCTTGCTCGCAATGCAGTTGCTCAGTGCACAAAATGTCTGTCATTCATGTGAGAGCCATGGATCTGTGAGGTTGGTTGCTCCGACCTGCATTTCACTGTTGCCAGGGACGCAGGATGGCACTCCTGAAGAAAGCGCAGAAGAAGTTCTGAAGCAATTGTCTACGAACATTGCCACTGTGCAGGCACTAGTGAAAAATATTGGTGAGAACGCTGGGCACCATGCACAAACCAGCTTCGACCTGGTGCAACAGACTTTGTTTAATGGGCTTGTTCAGCTGGTCTTTCCCACCCAGGGCCATCTGTTGGATCAGGCTACTGGGAAGATACACCAGCTGCCAGCCAACTGCCCCACCTTCGGACAGTGCCAGAGGCAGGAAGAACAATTCGTGGATTCCCTGCTGCAGAGTGATTCCCTGAGAAGCCTTGAGATTGTGTCCCAACTCAGGCAGTCAGTTGTTGAGCAGGGCCAGTTGCTGCAAATTTGGGAAGCCATGGAGCGTGTTGTGGCACACCCTGTGGAGACGACATCCAACCCGCCGTCGCCAACACCCAATGAGCCGGCAGTGCAGCTTGTGTCCACCGCACCCCGTGCGCGACCCGGCCTACCCACCAAGGACGAAGGAAGCAGCTCACAATCCGATGCTGCAGATGTGGCTGCTGCATCTTCAAGTGTTTCTGGGCCATCTTCTGAAGCCGGAGGGAGCCATGTGCAGCCTAGCACTGTCCCAGAGTGGACAAAAGGCTTGACCTCAGCGCAGGAGCAGCAACTCGCCCTCTATGAAGATTTTTGAAAGTTTGTGTGTTCCGTTTGTGAGAAGACTTACGATGTGGACAAAGATTTGTTCATCATAAGCTCATGCAGTCACAGACTGTGCTTATACTGCGGGAGATGTCATGTACTGGATGACATCAAGTGAGTGTACAGATGCATGTGCAGGGATTCAGCTGACAGTGTGCATGTCTGTATCTGGGAAGGGTCTGGCAGGACAGATTTGAGGTGATACCCTGTTGTTAGTACCGCGCTATGCATGCTTCACTGATGAACTTCCTGGCACGCTCACTGCAAATTGGTTTTGATCATGCACAGGTACAAGAGATTTCCATCTGTGTGCCCCCTGTGCATGGCACTTCCATGCAAAAAGTGCCCTGTAAAGACTGGCACGTGGAAGGCTTCAGACAACCCTTGGGATCAATTTTGTGCTTTCCAGGAAAGCGATTTGGAAAGGGTGCTGAATCGGCATGATATGGAAAGGCAAGTGAACCATGCAGTTCTGGCAAAGCCAAGACCAGCAGTGTGCCTTGTGTTGATACAACCAAGCAAGCATTGTGCCAAACTACTGCTCTTATGTTGAGATCCTGTCTGCTGTGCTACAATTCTTTGGTACCTGGCATTCTTGGATGGTAGCATAGTGCCTAATTAGTACATAGCTTCACCGGAATTCTTGCTCGCTTCTGTGTGGAAAACTGTTAAATGAAAGGCCACTGGAACACTGTCTGGCAGGTACAACCTCCTGCAGGTGGCAGTTGCGATGAAGAGCAAGGGGGAGGTGCTGCTGCACTGCACAAACCCAGATTGTGGCTCCAGATTCACCACCCGGTCCAGACCACGTTGGGGACACAGATGCCTGTGTCCCAAGTGCAGCTGCTACACTGGGGTGGTAGTCATGGACATGCCTACCCTGGATTCAAACTATGATACACAACCCAACCCAGCACCACAGGGCCCCTCCAGACCTGCTGCCACTCGTAGCGTCACCAGTCAACGGGCTCCGAAGAGGGCTGGACACAGGGAGGAACCACCATTTCCCCATGATTCCAACGCTGCACCACACGTGCCGCCTGAAAGAAATGCGCAAGAGCGCAGGAGTGCAGGAGTGCATGAGGGCAAGAGTGCAAGTAAGCGCAAAGATCCTGCTGTGGCGCGATCTGGACAGAAGGGCAGTGAGCAGCTGACCAAACCAGGCGTCCCTCCTAGCCTTGGTGGAGAGCAGCCCTTGACCGCCCCTGTTAATTGCAATGGCCACAGTTGCTCTGTTGGCACAGCGAATGTGCACACTGGACAGGCACTGGTGTTGAAGACAGCTCCAGCTGCGGCTGCCTCCCAGAGCCACCATGAACACCAGTTGGCAGGCACTCAGAATGGCTGCCAAGTGCAGCCGGGTAGTTTAGGGACGTCTGAGGCAAGTAGTGCACTGGAGGCCTGGGCAAGGACTAGCGATGACTCAAAGGCGTTTGCACCAGAACCAGAGGCATCCAGGGATGGGCTTGTATCACTCACTGGGAAACAGAAAGTGGAGGACGTGCAGAGCGGCGAATCCCCAGCACCCATGCAGGCACGATGAGCATGTTAGGACAGCAGTATGCACTTTCAGCCAGTGGTTTTCTTGTAAGTCTTGTTATGGATAGTTGTGTTTCCCTCACCACTGATCTCCTTTTGCTTGCTTTCATAGTGGCATGCTGGACGTCCACAGTTCACAGCAGTGTGTGATCAAATAAATAGGTGCTGATTAGGGAACGCCCTGGGCCTCACCCTTCTGTTTCATGCCAAGTACTGCAGGGTGGATACTGCCTATTTACATGTATGACGTGAATGGTGTGGACATGAATGACTCATCTTCCAAGCAGCCAAAGTCTCTGGTAATGGGACAATGCACTTGCAACGCGATGTTTCCCAAATTAAGACTGAGGCTGTAGTGATTTCATTTTTCTTATAGGAACCCGAACATCGTTGCGCTCAGAAAAGCAAGAGGCAACTGGTTGTGGAAGCACTCATGTCAGAGGTAATGCCTCGGTGAATTTGTAAAAAAGATGACGTGACGCCGTTTTCCCGCGGTTGTGCTGCTGTTTTTGGGTTAAACTGGGCGGGACTGTCTGCTTGCACATTCCTGCACAACCCAATGACAACATTAAGAATCGTAAATAACGCCCATGTTAGACAGTTTTTGTTGGCATTTAAAACGGTGATAAGCTACTGAAACTCGTGCACTACTCCTGCAATTTGTGATGCGACAGGACAAAACATGTGTTGCGACAGTGTAATGTGCAATATTGCAATCATGTGCCATGCCCGTTCTGCGGGGACTAATTTGCAGTATCATGAGAACGTCAGATACTTACTACCTGTCAACTCGTGCCCAGCTCTGTTGATTTTTGCCTTCATGGCTTCCGTTGCATTCAGCTGGAGACGAACAGCACGTGTTATTGTGAAATTTCAAGGAAATGGCTGATGTTGAACGCATATGCAACAATGTTGTGGTTGAGTAAATGACAATGGGGGACAAAAAAGGAGGACTGATTGATGCTCAAAACATGATTCACTGTTTAGCTGGTTTAGCTGGATTCAGGATTTGTTATCAGCATAATCAATGCCCTTCATTGAACCTAGTTGCATATCATCTTCTTTCAAAGACGATCAGGGGCGTGCGCTAAAGCAGCACGAACTCTAATTGGGACCTGTATCCTTGCATTATGCAGAATGGCTACTGTGCAAATCCTTTTAGCTGCATTTGTCAAAGCTCAACAAAATTCTGCTTTGCTGCCTATCAGGCTGTTTCACCCGCTGTTTGTGTCTGCGCAATGAGCTCTGTGACGTGTATTTCTGTCCCCGTTCCCCTTGGATAATTGTCCAAACGCCCAAGATTGATTGGCAAACATTATGGTGCAATTTTGGGGTGGATCTCTTCGACACGAGAGATATCTTGTAGCGTGTTAATGTACGTTCAGTTTGCCACGTAGTGGCTGCTTTTAGTCAGCTGGCGTGGAAGCTCACTGCATGTGCTCATGCGATGCCTTCTGTCGAAAAGTGGCGATGTATTGGCCTCGCACGCTCGAAGCATTGAAGCGACAGCGGTCCATGCAGAGAATGTCTCGATTGCAAGCTCGGTAAAATTCAGCCCTTTACCACTATGCATGTGATAGGCCAGGAAACAGCGTTGACCCCCCTATCATATTCGTTTGTTTTGTATTGCGTCTTGCTGGCAATGGCGGGCGTGTCTGTAATGGAGACTATTTTCTGTCCTTCGTCCGCTCATTTTATTCGCTCGCACTCGTCTGCAGCGCATACGAATGGCGGTCATGGAAAAGAAGAAGTTCTTTGCGCCTTCCCTGTTGCATTCACAAGCCCGACAGCACGGAGGGCCGTCAGACAATAATGGTGCTCTGGCTAGCATGGCATCGCGTGCAATGTTGTTAGTGTCCATTCACAGACAAGCAAGCTCCATGTAGCGTTGTATATTGACCCCCCCCGGATCGGAAAGACTTAGCGTTGCATTTTCCGCTCCGCACCGTCTTCGCGGAGCGTTGTTCGCTTTCCTTCCGCTTCGCATCATGTCCCGTGGGGGCAGGTGAGGCTGTGGAACCTGCTAGCCAAGTTTCAGGTGCAGCTGACAAGTCCACAGCCTGCTATATGCGTGCACCGGTCGACCAAACAGGTGCTCCACCGAGTGTTTCGCTGCTTCCTCCGCTTGCACCAACGCGAGCGCCCGTAGCGTCGTGCATCCGGACTGCAAGACGCCACGAGCAGTCCAGAGACCCTCGCGTTGCAGCTGAGCGGGTTTCGCTGCAGCAGGGCGATTTTAGGTGCAGCACGGCACCCAACTGCGCTGCAGGCTGCGGCGAACCCAACTCGTCTTGAAGGCGGCTCACTGTTGCTTTACTGGATGCTCTGCATATTTTCTCACAGGGTCGCGCTTTTCACTGTCGCTCTGGGAAAGAAAGGCCAAAAGTTACGTTACAATGCGGACGGGTATAACGTACTACGGTGCTTGAATTTTCTTGTCGTCGAATTGATGTTGAACTGCTCGGAATGATGTAGCTCATGGCGTCAGTGTCCTTTCCAATGCACATCATGGAGACTTGCATCCGCTGAAGTGAATTCAGCAACTGTTGCATGATTTCTCATTGATTCACTTGCGTGGATTCTTGGGTGAAGCAGGGAGTTCACGGCTGTCTCCACGCCCTTCTGTGCAGCGTTTCTTGACTGTATCATCTCGTCCTTGTTGGTGACTGATCTTGGGAGTCGAGCTGATATAAGGGTTGTCTGTCTGGCAGCGGCACATGAGCCATCTCAGGACGTATACGGGAAGGTTTAAGATCGTTTGCGCCAATTGCAGCAACGCCCTGGTCAGGGATATTGAGGAGCTGAAAGTCAAGGCTAGCATGCACATCGGCGAGAAATGTGGTCAGAAATTTGGCATCAGCTATGGCTTCTGTCCTCAAAATTTGGTTCCCAAAAGCGTCAGCACCAAATTGATGAATGAAGGGATTCTGGCCTGCAAGTCGTGCCACATCTGCGTTGGTACAGTGGGCGAGTACCACAGGACGGACCATGGGGCGGAAGTCGTCTGTCGAAGGTGCAACGAGCCCTCTGAACAACTCAACGCCGAAATTGACGTTTTGGATGACGACTTTGCCGCGCTGCCAGTGCTGGGCCTCAGACTGTCGTTTCTTTGTGGTCGAAATATAGCTGTTCAGATAGGTACATAAATTGGTCAGGGTAGCATGTGGTTCTATGTGAATGATGGCTGAACATGTGGCCGCGGTGTGTTCCCGTGGAGGAAATTGGTTGGACCAAGACAATGATTGTAAAATTACGGCAACTTACTTGGCGCCATTTCCCCAGCCGCGCAAACCCATCATTCCTTGTCTGCGTTTTCAGCCAGTGCACGATATCCGAGCTGTCTATGAAATTTATCTTTGCATTTGGGTGACAAATGACGTCAGAAAAGGCGCAACCTCTGCCGACGTCAGCAGAGGGCATCGGCTTTTCCGCTGACGTGAGCAGGCAGGGAGGGGCGTTGGCGGTGATCTACAAGTCTTGTAGACAATTCTTAGAATTGTCAGCAGGGATTTGGGAGATGTCAACGGTGCCGTCGACACATCGGGCCCGATTTGGTCGAGATCGGCAGGAAATGTCCCAGATGCTCCACTGTCTCCTGTGCCGGATGCCCCAAACGTACATTTCTGCCGACGTCCGCAGAGGTTGGCAATTGAGATGTTCCTTGCTCTAAATCACACAAATGTCTCTGAGAGCAGATGTATTGCAACGTCGTGTTCCGCACTTCCTGTGGATCCGCCCGCTGATCCAGCGCCCAACTACTGGTATTTAAATGGTTTGGGGGCGATTCTGGGCGGCGGCTGGCTTGCGACAATTGAGGACCACGAAAGCCTCGAGACGCCGCAAATCGGAAGACTGGCAATTGCTTGACATCAGGATTCATATCTACGGAAAGATGGGACATTAGCATGCCCACATATGATGCGGATGCGAGAGGAATTGTTAAAGTTCCCGGAACAAAGCTAATGCAAGACACAATGAATTCCATGAGAATGGAGTGTGTCTCTGACCGTCTGACTGACCAGAAATGAAGCTGAAAACACGCTGGTTATGCACTCAACAAAATGCACCGAGACAACAAGCTGTTAAGGTGCCAATTCGTAGCGAGTTGCGGCCAGTTCATTAAACCGTTAAACGATTTAGATTACCCGGTTAATGCGGCGCAACATCCGGCGGGCAGTCAGCTGCCGCTTGCGCCTTGGATGCTTCCCGCGCGCGCGACTTGCTCAGGAGTGCGCGGCTGGTCGGCGCGAGTGCGCGGAAAGGAGCGACCGCCGGCGACTGTGCTGGGCGACAGTGGCCGGACGTGGCGGACATCGGGGGATGGCTTTCGAAGCCGATGCACAGCTGACCGGCGAGGCGGAGGTGTCGAGCCATGGAGCTCGTTCTGGCGGAATGGCGGAGGCGCTGAGCAGTGCGAGTGCGGCAAAGTTGGTCGGAAAGATGGCGCGGAGCAAGAGAACCCTTGCGCGCATCGAGGGGAAGCGCGATGCGTTGTTAAGGGCAGATGAGGGGGGCGCCTTACGAGAAAGGGCGGAGGCGGGCAGTCCGGAGGCCGCGGGCCGATCGTCCCCAGCCGCTCAAGCGGCCTTAGCGATGGCCGTCAGGAAGCTCGTTGTTGAGCTCCGGACGGAGGCGGTGGAGGCGCCGAGGTCGGCCGCAGAGTGGGCCTCCATGGCCATCCGGAGGGCCCTAGGAAACCCCCCCGAAAGGGGGATGCACGTTCCCCCGGCCGGTCCGGAGGGATGGAGCAGCACGCCGGGGCCGGAGGAAGCGGCGCCCGAGCTGCGCCTTATCGAGCGCGGGCGGGCGGAGCTCGCGAGCGGGCAAATGCCGCGGGAGGAAGGCTCCGAGCAGTTCGGAGGAAGGAAAGTCATGCACGACGCCCGGATTGGCCGAGCGTCGTGAAATGTAACTGCAAGGAGTGTTTGTGATTGATAGGAAAAGGGGGAAAACGGGTTTGATAAGGGGAAGTGAAGGTAATAAGGAAAGGATATTGTAACCCCTATCAGATGCATGAGAAGTGACCTGTACGCATGCACAAAGGCTTTAGAGGAGGGGGTGCGTTGGTTCTTGGGGTGGTGATGTTTTTTAGTGAAACGGTTGGAGAAAGGTGATGTAACCGGGTACCAAAGTGGGTGAATGATAATGTGATGGAATCCAACGTTGGGAATTCACTCAGGACGCTGCGAAGAGGGTCCAACGCACTGCGAATTCGCAGTGGGAAGTGGCATGTGGAGAGTCCGAAGGGGGGTGTTGTGATGCCTAGCAACTGGGGTATATAGGGGCTGGCTTTTGGCCAGTTTGGACAGCACCAAAGCCAGCGCCGCGAACCGCCCCAAACGGACGACAACCAGAGCTGTGAGAGAGCGCTGTGGAGCTGCAGCCAAGGCGCAATCCGTCGTTGGTGTTGACTGGCGGGGCTGGACGGTGTGGCGTTTTGGGAATCGCTGATCGAAGTGAAGAGTTGGTGTTGGGAGTGAAGTATAGTGACGGGTGAAGTTGGATCTGTGAGAAAGGGAAGTGGACAAAGTGAAAGCGTTCTGTGGTGTTGTTGAGCGTTGTACAGACGTTGTGTAAGTCCTGTAGGTTGGCTGCCTGCCTGATTGAGCATCGTGATTGTGAGTTCCAGACAGAATTATTGAGCCGTCGTTCTGACCGACTCCTGGCTGGAAAAAGGGGACCGTGACCTACTGGCCATATCATGGCGGTCACAAACAGGGTCCTTCAACAGAATGCAATGACCTCAACCGCACTGGATCATCCAGTCTGGATGTCTTCTTGCTGTATGGTAGGGCCAACGTTGTTTCCAGAGACAGAAAACTGGGTGCGGAGAACGTGCGACCTGTGAAATGACCATGTTAAAGCAGTGGAAAGAAGTATTTAACACCCTTTCGTGCAAAATGTCGTTAGTGGATATTACACAAGTGTAGAAATGGTAATGTTGCGAAACTTTAAAACATGTTTTTCTTTGATCTTGAGCATGTTTATTGCATTATGGGTCGATTGCACATATTGAACATAATAGTTTTTACAATTTGCTCGGAAATCAAGCTGTTGCACACTAATTGTGTTATTGGCTCACTAACGACATTTTGCACGAAAGGCTGTTATTTGATTGTTCCATGCTCAGCGATGAAACGGAGCTGAGCCCAACCTCCTTAAACTTCACTCCTACTCCTTAGTTCGTGTTCGCACTTTGGAGTAATTGTGGCGCACTGGTAGTAGTCAAGGGCAGCATGAGGTACTGAATGGTAGTGCCCTATCCTGCGGGCTGTCGCAGCATAATCACGTGTGCCGCATTCAGCTTAAAATTTGTCCCCTTCTCCCTCCGCCTCTTCTCCCAAGCGCGCCTTCCCCGCCGATCTGTGTTTTAATTGCCAACTGGCAAGGTGATTGGCCAGCACATACAAAGCACAGATTTCGAAAGGCCGTTGAACCTCACCGCTGGGCATCCGTCGCCGGTCGTTGTCCAGTATGGCCACAACATGCAGCCCGATAAATCGTGGAGAGGACAAGTGGAAATGCACCAGGAGAATGCCAAAGTCTGATTATGCGGAATACAGCTGCATCGATTTCTCCAAGCTGTACACAGGAAGTTGCCCATGCTTCTCTTTATCTTCGAATCAAGAAAACCTCCAATTTTTTTGGGGTGGAAATCTATGCATAGGGCTTAAACGAAGAAAATCTTAGAATATCTTTGTAGTGCATGTAATACAACGTTCTGTGGTGTTAAAACTGCCGTATGGCCATTCAACAGTGGCATCCCGTGATTACTTGGTACCAGTGTCCGTATTTAGGGCATCCAAACGGCTATAAACGATCTCGACACTTGGTCGTGGATGCTATGCCAGTTTTGGACTTTCGATCTAAGAGCGGCCTCAGAACATATGAAAATCAGGCTTAGGAAGTGGGCTACAAAAGTAGGCTGAAAATAGCGAAAACTCATTGCACAGGTCACAGGTGACTGCCTTCACAACAGGGGCAAGCGGGGCAGTACAGGTAACCACAAGCGATCTTGCCCAGTTGCAGCCCCTCGCCAATCCACTCCACTCTTCAATTAGCCTATTAGGCTGATTTCACTAACTCCACTTCAAGTGACAAGTCATGACCATTGAGCTCCACGCTTCCTCGCCACTTCCCGCATTTCCTCCGTTACAGAGATGCCCTCCCGCCTTTGTGCATGCGCTCTTGATCTGCACATCACCAGTTTCCCGCCCACCAGTTTCCCCACCCCGCCCCTCAAGCACTACTATCCGGCCTGCAGCTGCTTGACAACCAAAACTGCCTCTCCCAACCGATTGCGGGTGGCCACAAGCATGAGCTTATGTCCGCGAGCAGTTTCTTGCTGCTTGCCGGTCCCCCACACAGACCACCTGCCCCTTCAAGGGGCAAAGCCCTGACAACTGTTATTCCCCTCCTGTTCGGGGATCCCTGCCCCGTGGAGCGCGTTCCTCCGGCGCCGATTGGCCACATTCGGCCGCAGGCGGCCACTGCTGCCCCGGCGCTTGATATCGAATCGGCGAACTGTCAGCAGGTAGCGGTCAAACTGAGAAACAGTTAGGCAGCTGGGCATGGGTTCAGCCATAGGACCGGCCAGCGGCACAACCGTTGTCCAGCGGCGTCCCACAGAGCTGGCGACGATGGGTTTAGAAATTGAAACCTGCAGCTTTTCGCAATTGGCCGGTGTCGACAAGGGATTGCCAATCTGGCTGCTGTCGGTCACACTTCCTGCTTATCCTTTTCCCGCGATGCGGATGGGGGGGGGGGGGTCAGCGGAGTCAGTTGCAAGTCGTGGCACGGGGGGAACACATCCATTGTGCGGGACATGCGCCGGCAGCCCGTCTTTTTAAGTGGAATCGCCAGCGGGCAATGGTTTTCGAATCGTTTGAGTGCGCGGTGGTCAGGGTCGTTGGTACCGCACAGCCTGCATCCACATGCGACCCTCGTGCAGGTGCGCCGAGATTCGCTCATGCATCGAACGCACGGGCCAGGACCGGCTAGCACAATCTTCCCCACCTAAGTGCCTTCCCTGTCTCAGCACCCCTGAATGTCGTCCCACCAACATTTTGTCATCGCGTTCGATAGTTGTCCGTTGGTGCTTGATTGCTTTCGGCCACCATCCGCGCCACAGCTCAGGAGAAGGGAGGCTCCAGGAAGGCGCAGTTTCCCACAGCGCCCTTTATCAGGGGCTATCATGATGCCGTTGTGCACGTGCTCTCGTCGCCGCCTTCGATAGTCAAGTTTGGGCGAACGATTTAGTTTTCTTTTGGCTTCTGGTGCACACAGGGAAGTCTGCAGCGCCGATCAGCACCCGTGGGACGCCGAACGCGTGCAGAGTCAACGCCGGCTGCCGGCCATTGCCTCGTCATCTTGGGTCGGTGGGTAGCCACTGAGGAGTCAAGTGCCCGTGTGGCAGGAAGCCGCCGGTTTAGAGGCCTAGTGGGCCTCAAACTGTGGTCTCTGAACGTAAGAGAAGAAACTAGTCATTTTCGCTCTCTTTGATCGTTCAGGCTGGACGGCCAGCTGAGCTTTTTCGCAAGGGGTCCAGTGTTCAGCCACTGGGACTGTGAAGTGCATCGTCAAGATTCAATAATGGCTGCAGGTCTAATGATCAGATCTTCTGTGAAAGTTGCCCCGCGCGATGATTTCTTACTTGTCACCCATAGGCAGATGTGCGGGGTGCCATGCCGATGTGCTAACCCCATGCAGACTGGCAACATTCGATTATCTGAACACCAAGCCTTGGTATAGGGACGGTGAAATAATTCCAGAAATGTTGGCTGCTAAAGTCTGCTAGAAGATGCCACAATCAGTTTCAGTGCTTGGTGCTCGGTTGTTAGCTGTATACGGGATTCGAACAGCATTGCTTGTTCCATATAGTGTGAATATGTCCTCTCCTTGTGCATGGTGAACCTCATTGCTAATTCCTGGAGACCTCACGATGGGAGCTAGGATGGACATCTGAACAACACGCCCACAGCTGAACCAAGAGCAGGCACAGGAGCTGCAGAATTGTGATGCACTGCAGTGACTATCACCCCAGGGCACCCTGCCAACCCAATATTTTCCACAGTTTCTTCTTTGTGTGGCTGCTCAGGTGTACACAGAAGGATTGGAAAGATGTTGCAGTTCTTTGAGGGCCATGCTGCCATCATCGCAGCAGCAGAGGATCTTTGTACCTCTGGCGTGAGGTACAACCACAAGACACTGGAGTTCCTTGTGGAGCAGATGACTGCGGCAAGAAGGCTGATGGAGGAGGTGACACAGACGCCTGTGGATGAGCAAGACCTGTGCTGGTGGGAAGACTTGAAGGAGGCCCTGAGAAGGGCGAAGCACCTGGTGCAAGAGCACACCAGTGTGTTTGACATTCGGCATTTCTACAAAGTGGGAAGCGTGGTGAATGAGGTCAGAATTTTGTGCCATGACTTTGCTGCCCTCCTGGATGCTGTGGGTCTAGAGGCAGCGTTCAACGACATCAAGGCCAGCATTGACCCCAACAGCATTGCTATTGACAAGGCATACCTAGAGTGGTACCTTTGTGCCATCATTGATGGAGGAGTCAGGGAACAGCAGGAAGTGCCAAAAGAGCTGCAGGAATTGCAAGAGGACAACAAGCAGAGGATGCAGCGGATGCATTTGATCGAAGAGACAGAAATCACTTGGGGATGCTCTCTTGATAAAGGCGGATGTTCGCAAGTTTTTGCATGTCGTTGGGCTGGCAAGGATGTGGCGGTGAAGAAGCTAGCAGCTCGTGCAGACAACATTCCCCAGGATGCAGTGGCAGAATTCCTGGCCGAGGCAGAAATCGGCATGAACATGAGACACCAAAATGTGGTGGTGTGCTATGCAGCAACAAGATCCTTGTGCCTTGTCATGGAGCTGGCCAACAGCAACCTGCAGAGATTGTGCCTTCAAACCAGAAATCTCAGTTGGGCATGCAAAGCTGATCTCCTGCTGCAGGCCTCCGAGGGCCTCAGGCATGTGCACAGCATGGGCATCGTTCACAGGGATGTGAAGTCTCTGAACTTCTTGGTGTTTGGCACCAGCTCAGACAATTATGTGGTGAAGGTGGCAGACTTTGGTCTTGCAATTGTCAAGTCTGGGGCAACCAAAAGTCTGACTGGCCTTCCAATGCAGGGTACGGAACTGTGGATGGCGCCAGAGATCCTTGAGGGTAAACCACACACCATGAAATCGGATGTGTTCAGCTTGGGCATTGTGATGTTTGAGGTTGCCTCACAGAGCTTGCCGTATGCCAGGCTGAATCAGATCCAAGTCAGGGGGAAGAAATGCAAGTGGAGGGACCCTTGTGTTGGGTTGGACGAGTGCCCAGAGCCATTGATGAAATTGATGAGGGCCTGCACCAATCCGTATGCTGATAGACGACCCTCCATGAAGGCAGTGTGCTCATGTCTGATACAGATTGTGCATGGGGCCCCAAGCACGTCTGAGGTTGGTTGCAAGGTCTTTTTGCGAATGGCAGTAAAACCAGTGGCTTTGCGTGATCCAGGAGTTGTTGAAAGTCACAAGTTGGTTGCTCTTGCATCTGTTGTGCTCACAGCTGCTTGGTAATTGCATGCAGTTACATTTGTCAAGTATTGGCCCAAAGTGCATTTGTTCATTTGTTGATTATTGTGGCCGAATTGCAGGATGCAGGGCATGAATTAGTGACCTGAAATTAGTCTTCAGAGTGTTGCAGCACATACTTGGTGCCATTCCATTAGCATTATGCTCCACCTGTGGACGCTACAGATGCAGAACATACTAGTAGCAGTATTTCACTCAGTCCTCCAGTGTAGAGAAGAAGCATTTGCTGGAAGCATCGCAGACAGCACAACTGCATTGTGCTCAGCATCCGTGCAGAGAACTATCCACTGTGCAAGCTACGACAGCGCTTCACCTCTGCAAAAGGCGCACTCGGTTTACTGTGAGATCAGGCTAACAATGCCCGTAGTGCTTGCAGTTGTATTCACAGACAGTTGTAGACATGGTTAGGGACATTGGAGATGGAATGTATGGTTTGATGTGCACGCAGGGCACTGCCCAGCAGGGTTTTTGTCCTGGCACCAAATGTTCTAAAGGTTGTCCAGTGTTCAGTGCTTCATTTGCACTATGGGGTTTTCCTTGTTGTAGCCAACAGCCTGAACATGCGGTTCTGCAGTGTCGTTGTTTCTGAATGAAAGCATGATGGCAGAACATTCTGTCGATCAATATTTGGTCAACGCACTAGCAAAAAACATGCCAGATGACACAGTCCTGACACGGTCTGCTCAAAATCTAACTGTGTACTTTTGGCAAATGTGGTCCCAAAAGTACACAGTCAATACACACATTGACACAGTTTTACTCGTGTATCCTGGGAAACTGTGTAGCCTACACAGTTTTTGAGGGTACAATGTGTGTACTAACTGTGTACTTTTGAGACCATATTTGCCGAAAGTACACAGTTGGATTTCGAGCAGACCGTGTCAGGACTGTGTTATCTGACCTGTTTTTTCCTAGTGACGGGCAGCCAGCTAATTCAATTCTGTCACCCAGATCTCGCTCTCTGGCAACTGTATCAGGCCCCAATCCCACCACCTTGCCCCACCCGTTGTAGCAGCATTTCACAGTCCTGCAGGCTGACTGCATTTGGCGTTGTTTCTCGGTTGTTATGGGTGGCATGAAAACGCCACATTGTCTCGGGTCACCTGCGGCATTGCCCATTGCACCCCGATTGGCTTGTAGCCAGCGGGTGACGAATGCAAGTGCCTCAGTGGTGGGTGGCCTTGGTTAGTAGAACACACAATTGTTTTACGTGCAAATGCTCGTCAAACCTGGCAATTTGAGTCAGCATTCTGTGAGGATTCATCATACAACAATGATAGGCGTCCTGAGTTCCTTCAACTCTGACCACAAACGCCTGTGCCAGCACCAAAATTTGGGTTGCTGGCTTTAAGGCTCAGCCAACCAGCGCGCGAGAGCACTGGCCACCATTCAACACAACTGGAAAAAATATCAGTGAGGTGCAGTTGATTAAGGAGTGTAACTCACTGAGACAACGCACAATTGTTTGTTGCAGAGACGTGAAGCTCGACCGAGATCAGATGACGCAGAGAAGGTCGCCTTGATACAGGTGGAAATGTTGCACATGGATGGCATTGCTGCCAGTGATTTGCTTGCAAATCGATGTGATACTGTTTCTTGTGTGAATTGGTGTGCAGCTTTCAATAGATGTTACTGCTCGAACATTGCCTGACTGTGAGAACTAAGGAAGTTGTTTGCTACGTCATAAATCGTATTGCCATTAAACAGCCCAGTGCATGAACGAGGGCAAAGAAAGAGAGACCGAGCCTTCGGGCATGATTTTGCGATGTAAACAACACATGTTTATGCGCATTGCGCTGCAAAATAACTTTGATATATTTGCGCACAAAAATGCATAACTTTGCGTAAATATGGACTCTGAGCGCTTACGGCAAGTACATACAGGCTCAGGGAGTCCGGGCAGTGGCACCTAGGCGCATTGGAGTGGGCTAAGGACGACTGTCTGTTCGACGAATTCGTTGTCCTTGCCGAGGGAGAGCTGTGTTGCGGGTGCTCGAAAGGACTGCGGCCTTTACATTGTTTGCGACTTCGTCTCGGAGCCTGGGTGCTTCAACACAACGTACACGTGTGTAAATAGGACCATAAGAGCGGGCTTTCTCTGTTTACGCATATTAAAGAGCAGATGCGTGAAGTTAAAATATTACCGCAAATGTAAACATTGGTCATAGAGCCATTGAAATCCTGTAACATTCACGGCATGAGCATGGCATTTGTTGTCGGATTTGACCATAGTTCTTGCCCAACAACATTTGGCCAACGCAATGTGGTCGTACTTGCCAAATTTGACCACGGCGTCACTCTAATTGCGGCCATCGTTGCATGCTTGCACTGCCGCACCCTTATGTGCTTTGCTAACGCATCCGTCCTGGCGACATTTTTCTGCCCATAGGTCAATACAGACCTCCAGGAAAGATTGAAGGAGCTTACAACACAGTCAAAGAAGCTTCAAAAGGAAAACCAGCAGGCCAATGAATCTGTTTCCCACCTCCAAGCAAGAGTAAGGGAAATCACTGCACAGATGGAGAAACTTCAAAGAGAGAGCCAGGAGACTGTGTCACACCTCCAAGGAAAGTTGAGGGACACTGCAGCATACTCAGAGAGGGTTCGAAGCGAAAGCCAGAAGACCGTGTCAGTCCTCAGAGAAAGAGTGAAGGGGCTGACAGAGGCGTCAGAGCGCCTGAAGGCGGAAAATCAGGAGCTCAGGGAGCAGTTACGAGGATCGAAGCAATTTCAAAGTGCTGAATGGGGTGGTGGCACTGATGGCAAGGTGGGTGGCAAGGGAGGCAGCCAGAATACATTGGAAATTCCGCAACGCCAACATGCAGACCTTGGAGTCGTTGCAAATATGTGTATATTGTGGCAGAGAACTGTGCAGGGAATATCTCACAAAACCTGCATACAAGGGGCCTGACGTTGATGCCTTCCTGGCATTGCTGATGACAGTACCAGCATGGCTAGAAAGGCCAGCATGGTTTGCAGTGGGAAAATTTGCGTGCTTTTAGCGCTCGAGAGACTGTGCAAAAAATTTCCCGCGCAAAATTTTTGGTTACATGAAAAATATTTTCGCCTGCGAGATTGTCCACCGACTTCCCCTAGACACCTTGGGCGCCCCCTGTCGCTTGTTGGCATGCACAGCGGTGACCCCCTTCAGCCACGCCCAACCCCTCGGAAGTGAAAGACGCTGTGGCCGACAAGGTTGTAGCTGCGGCGGAGGCACGCGAGGCCAATAAGGAGGAGAGAGGGACCACAGAGAAGTCCGAGGAAGCCAAGGAGGAAGCTGAGGCCCCCGCAAAAAAGGAGGGCTTCTGGAAGAGGACCCGGCGAAATGTGCCGGTGAGGCAGAATTGACATTATTTAATGGAGCTACCTTGGGTTAAGGCCGCTGGGTGGGAAAGCTGGGAGAGTTCTTCTTGCAGGAACCGAGGCTTAGTCTTTGCGTTCGCGTTTGCGATTCTAAGCGCAAAAAAGCAGACATGCAAAAGGGGATATTTTTACGGCTATATATGGCTCGTTGTGACACCCGCATTACATTATGAATTCACATAACGGTCAGTCCTCCCACCCCTCAAGCACCCGCAACGTAGTGCCCACCTCGCCTGGGCAACGCCAAAGACGCCGCCAACCCGCCGTTGTGGACATGAATTACTCATTTTTCATGCAGCCAAGGTCTCTGTTAATGGGGCATTGCACTTGCAGCGTGATGCTTTCCAAATTAAGACTGAGGCTGTATTGATTTCATTTTCATGTAGGAACCCGAGCATCGTGGCGCTCAGAAAAGCAAGAGGCAGCTGGTTGTGGAAGCACTCGCGTCAATGGTAATGCCTCGGTGAATTTGTCAAAAAAGATGACGAGATGCCGTTTTCCCGTGCCATTTGCGATGCGGCGGGATGGAATATGTATTGCGGCAGTGTCATGTGCAACACGGGAATGATGTGCCATGCCCGTTCCGCGGGGGTTAAGTCGCAGTATCGTTAGAACGTCAGACTCTAATTACCTGTCAACTCGTGCCCAACTCTGTTGATTTTCTCCTTCATGGCTTTCGTTACATTCAGCGGGAGACGAACAACACGTGTTATTGTGAAATTGCAGGGAAGTGGCTGATGTTGAACACATGTGAAGCAATGTTGTGGTTGAATAAAGGACAGTGGAGGATAAGCAAGGAGGACTGGTTGATGCTCAAAACATGATTCACTGTTTAGCTGCTTTGGATACAGGATTCGTTGTCGGCATGATCAATGCCCTTAATTGAACATCGTTGCATATCACCCTCTTTCAAAGATGATCAGCGCCGTGCAATAAACCAGCAAGAACGCTAATTGGGACCTGTATCCTTGCATTATGCAGAACGGCTGCTGTGCAAATCCTTTTAGCTGCATTTGTCAAAGCTCAACAAAATTCTGCTTTGCTGCCTAGCAAGCTATTTCACCCGCTGTTCGCGTCTGCGCAATGAGCTCTGTGACATGTTTTTCTGTCCCTGTTCTCCATGGATAATTGTCCAAACGCCCAAGATTGATTGGCACACATTATGGTGTAATTTTGGCGTGGATCTCTTCGACTTGAGAGATATCTTGTAGCGTGTTAATGTACGTTCAGTTTGCCACGTAGTGGCTGCTTTTGGTCAGCTGGGGTGAAAGCTCACTGCATGAGCTCATGCGATGCCGTTTGTCGATGTTCTGGCCTTGCACGTTCGAAGCATTGAAGAGGCAGCGGTCCATGCAGAGTATATCGCGATTGCAAGTCCAGTAAACTTCATCCCGTTACCGCTATGCGTGTGATAGGCCAGGAAACAGCGTTGACCTTGTCCCTTATCGTATTCATTTGTTTTGTATTTGCCTGCGAAAAAGAAATGGTGCCATTACGTCCTGCTGGCGATGACGGGCATGTGTGAATTGGCAACAATTTTCTGTCCTTCATCAGCTCATTTTGTTCGCTCGCCACTCGTCTACAGCGCATATAGATCACTAGGAAGAAAAGGGCAAAACAACACGTGTTCAAACGTGTACGAAGTTTATGGGTTCGTGTTATTTTTGTGTTCTTAGCGTGCAGAACTTTGATGAAATATGTTTTATGTGTGTTCACAAAAGTGTTATTTGGCCCTTTTTTCCTAGTGGATGGCGGTCATGGAAAAGAAGAAGTTCTTTGCGCCTTCCCTGTTGCATTCACAAGCCCGACAGCACGGAGGGCCGTCAGACAATAATGATGCTCTGGCTAGCATGGCATCGCGTGCAATGTTGTTAGTGTCCATTCACAGACAAGCAAGCTCCATGTAGCGTTGTATATTGACCCCCCCGGATCGGAAAGACTTAGCGTTGCATTTTTCGCTCCGCATTGTCTTCGCGGAGCGTTGTTCGCTTTCCTTCGGCTTCGCATCATGTCCCATGGGGGCAGGTGAGGCTGTGGAACCTGCTAGCCAAGTTTCAGGTGCAGCTGACAAGTCCACAGCCTGCTATATGCGTGCACTGTGCGACCAACAGGTGTTCCACCGTGCGTTTCGCTGCTTCCTCCGCTTGCACCAACGCGAACGCCCGCAGTGTCGTATATCTGGACTGCAAGACGCCACGAGCATTCCAGAGACCCTCGCGTTGCAGCTGGGCCGCTTTGGCTGCGGCAGGGTGATTTCCCTACGGCTTTTAGGTGCACCACGGGATCCCGTGATTTCCGGAAATCAGCGGCACTGCGGGTTGGGGCTGACCCAACTCATCTTGAAGGCGGCTTGCTATTGCTTTATTAGCTGCTCTGCCTATTTTCCCACAGCGTTGCACTTTTTATTGTCTCCTGGGAAAGAAAGGCCACAAGTTATGTTACAATGCGGAAGGGTATAATATACTAAGGTACTTGAATTTCTTTTCGTCAAATTGATGTTGAGCTGCTCGGAATGATGCAGCTCATGGCGTCAGTATCCTTTTCAATGCACATCATGGAGACTTGCATCCGTTGAAGTGAATTCAACAACTGCTGCATGATTTCTCATCGATTCACTACGTTGTTTCGTTGGGTGAAGTAGGGATTTCAGGGCTGTCTCCACGCCGTTCTGTGCGGTGACTGTTGACTGTACACTCAACAATAGATGATACATGTATCATCTCGTCCTTGTTGGTGACTGATCCTGGGAGTCGAGCTGATCTAAGAGTTGTCTGTCTGTCAGAGGCACATGGACCATCTCAGAACGCATACGGGAAGGTTTACGATCGTTTGCGCCAATTGCAGCAACGCCCTGGTCAGGGATATTGAGGAGCTGAAAGTCAAGGCTAGCATGCACATCGGCGAGAAATGTGGTCAGAAAGTTGGCATCAGCTATGGCTTCTGTCCTCAAAATTTGGTTCCCAAAAGCGTCAGCACCAAATTGATGAATGAAGGGATTCTGGCCTGCAGGTCGTGCCACATCTGCGTTGGTACAGTGGGCGAGTACCACAGGACGGACCATGGGGCGGAAGTCGTCTGTCGAAGGTGCAACGAGCCCTCTGAACAACTCAACGCCGAAATTGACGTTTTGGATGAAGACCTTGCCGCGCTGCCAGTGCTGGGCCTCAGGCTGTCGTTTCTTTGTGGTCGAAATATAGCTGTTCAGATAGGTACATAAATTGGTCAGGGTAGCATGTGGTTCTATGTGAATGATGGCTGAACATGTGGCCGCGGTGTGTTCCCGTGGAGGAAATTGGTTGGACCAAGGCAATGATTGTAAAATTACGGCAACTTACTTGGCGCCATTTCCCCAGCCGCGCAAACCCATCATTCCTTGTCTGCGTTTTCAGCCAGTGCACGATATCCGAGCTGTCTATGAAATTTATCTTTGCATTTGGGTGACAAATGATGTCAGAAAAGGCACAACCTCTGCCGACGTCAGCAGAGGGCATCGGCTTTTCCGCTGACGTGAGCAGGCAGGGAGGGGCGTTGGCGGTGATCTACAAGAATTGTCAGCAGGGATTTGGGAGGTGTCAACGGTGCCATCGACACATCGAGCCTGATTTGGTCGAGACCGGCAGGAAATGTCCCAGATGCCCTGATCTCCTATGTCGAATACCCCAAACGCACAAATCTGCCGACGTCCGCAGAAGTTGGTAATTGAGATGTGCGTTGCTCCAAATCACACAAATGTCTCTGAGGGCAGATGTATTGCAACATCGTGTTCCGCACTTCATGTGGATCCACCCGCGGATCCAGCGCCCAACTAATCGGATTTGAATGGTTTGGTGGCGATTCTGGGCGGCGGCTGGCTTGCGACAATTGAGGACCACGAAAGCCTCGAGAGGCCGCAAATCGGAAGACTGGCAATTGCTTGACATCAGGATTCATATCTACGGAAATATGGGACGTCAGCGTGCCCACATATGATGTGGATGCGAGAGGATTGCAATGATCTCAACCGCGCTGGATGTCTTCTTGCTGTATGGCAGGGCCGACGTTATTTCCAGAGACAGAAAACTGGGTGCGCAGAACGTGCGACCTGTGCAATGACCATGTGAAAACAGTGGAAGGAAGTATCTGATTGTTCCATGCTCGGCGATCAAAGGGAGCTGATCCCAACCTCCTTGAACTTCACACCTACTTGTTAGTTCATGATCGCACTTTGGGGTAATTGTGACGCACTGGTAGTAGTCAAGGGCAGCATGCGGTACTGAATGGTAGTGCCCTATCCTGCGGGCTGTCGCATCATAATCACGTCTGCCGCATTCAGTTAAAAATTTGCCCCCTACTCCCCCCGCCCCTAAGGGCCTTCTCCCGAGCGCGCCTTCCCCGCCGATCTGTGTTCTAGTTGCCAACTGGCGAGGTGACTGGCCAGCACATACAAAGTGCAGTTTGCAAAAGGCCGTTGAACCTCACCGCCGGGCATCCATCGCCGATCGTTGTCCAGCATGGCCACAACATGCAGCCCGATAAATCGTGCGGAGGACAAGTGAAAATGCACCAGGAGAATGCCAAAGTTTGAGTGCACGGAATACAGCTGCACCGATTTCTCCAAGGTGTGCACTGGAAGTTGCCCGTGTTTTTCTTTATTTTCAAATCAAGAAAGCCTTCAAAGACTTTTTTTGTAGAAATCTATACATAGGGCTCAAACGAAGAAAGTCTTCGGAGGTCTTTGTAGTGCATGCACTACAACGTTTTACGGCACCCCGCGATTACTTGGTACTAGGGTCCGTATTTAGGACATCCAAACAGCTATAAACGATCCCGACACTTGGTCGTGGATACTATGCCTGTTTTGGACTTTCGATGTAAGAGCGGCCTGAGAACATTTGAAAATCAGGCCTAGGAAGTGGGCTAGAAAAGTAGTCTAAAATTAGCGAAAACCCATTGCACAGGCAACAGGTGACTGCCTTCACAATAGGGGCAAGCGGGGGCAGTAGAGGTAACCACAAGCGATCTTGTCCAATTGCAGCAGTGGCCCTTCGCCAATCCACTCCACTCTTCAATTACCCCATTAGGCTAATTTCACTAATTTCACTTGAAGTGACAAGTCATGCTCATTTTGAGCCCCATGCTTCCTCGCCACTTCCCTCATTACCTCCGTCACAGAGATGCTCTCCCACATTTGCGCTCTCGATCTGCACATCACCAGTTTCCCGCCCACCAGTTTCCCCACCGCGCCCCTCAAGCACTGCTATCCGGCCTGCAGCTGCTTGGCAACCAAAACTGCCTCTCCCAACCGATTACGGGTGCCCACAAGCATGAGCTTATGTCCGCGAGCAGCTTCTTGCTGCTTGCCGGTCCCACACCAAGACCACCCAACCGCCACCTGCCCCCTTAGGGGCGCAAAGCCTTAACAACTGTTATTCCCTTTCTGCTCGGGGATCCCCGCCCCGTGGAGCGCATTCCTCCGGCGCCGATCGGCCACATTCGGCCGCCGACGGGCGCTGCTGCGGCGGCGCTTGATATCGAATCGGCGAACTGTCAGAAGGAAGAGGTCAAACTGAGAAACAGGTAGGCAGCTAGGCATGGGTTCAGCCATAGGCCCGGCCGGGGCGCACAACCGTTGTCCAGCGGCGCCCCACAGGGCTGGCGCAGATGGGTTGAGAGATTAAAACCTGCGGCTTTTCCGCGTTTCGCCGGTGTCGACAGTGGATTGCCAATCTGGCCGCTGTCGGTCACACTTCCTGCGTATCTTTTTCCCGTGATGCGAATTGGTGCGGCTCGGCGGAGTCAGTTGCAAGCCGCGGCACGGGGAGAGCAACTCCACTGTGCGGGACATGCGCCGGTAGCCCGTCTTTTTAAGTGGAATTTCCATCGGGCGATGGTTTTCGAGTCGTTTAGTCCGCGGTGGTCAGGGTCGTTCACTGTACCGCACAGCCTGCATCCATATGCGAAACTCCTGAAAGTGCGCCGAGATTCACTGACGCATCGAACGCACGGGCCAGGACCGGCTCGCACCATCTTCCCCACCCAAGGGTCTTCCCGGTTGCAGCACCCCTGAATGTCGTCCCACCAACATTTTCGTCATCGCGTTCGATAGTCGTCCGTTGGCGCTTGATCGCTTTATGCGACCATCCACGCCACAGCTCAGGAGAAGGGAGGCTCCAGGAAGGTGCAGTTTTCTAACAGCGCCCCTGATCAGGGGCTATCATGATAACCGTCGTGCACGCGCTCTCGTTGCCGCCTTCGATAGTCAAGTTTGGGCGAGTGATTGAGTCTTCTTTTGACTTCTGGTGCACACAGGGAAGTCTGCTAGGAGATGCCAGAATCAGTTTCAGTACTTGGTGCTTGGTTGTTAGCTGTATATGGTATTTGAACGGCATTGCTCGTTCCATATAGTGTGAATTTGTCCTCTCTTTGTGCAAGGTGTGCACCATTGCTAATTCCTGGAGACCTCATGATGGGACCTAGGATGGGCATCTGAACAACACGTCCACATGTGGACAGCTGTACAGCTGAACCGAGAGTAGGCTCAGGAGCTGCAGAATTGTGATGTACTGCAGTCACCATCACCCCAAGGCACCCTGCCAACCAAATATTTTCCACAGTTTCTTCTTTGTGTGGCTGCTCAGGTGTACTCAGAAGGATTGGAAAGATGTTACAGTTCTTTGAGGGCCATGCTGCCATCATCGCAGCAGCAGAGGACCTTTGTTCCTCTGGCGTGAGGTACAACCACAAGGCACTGGAGTTCCTTGTAGAGCAGATGACTGCGGCAAGAAGGCTGATGGAGGAGGTGACAGAGACGCCTGTGGATGACCAAGACCTGTGCTGGTGGGAAGACCTGAAGGAGGCCCTGGAAAGAGCGAAGCAGCTAGTGCAAGAGCACACCAGCGTGTTTGACATTCGGCATTTCTACAAAGTGGGAAGCGTGGTGAATGAAGTCAGAGCTTTGTGCCATGAGTTTGCTGCCCTCCTGGATGCTGTGGGACTAGAGGCAGCACTGAACAACATCAAGGCCAACATTGACCCCAACAGCATTGCTATGGACAAGGCATATCTGGAGTGGTATCTTTGTGCCATCATTGAGGGAGGAGACAGGGAACAGGGAGAAGTGCCAAAAGCAGAGCTGCAGGAATTGCAAGAGGACAACAAGCAGAGGATGCAGCGAATGCATTTGATCGAAGAAACAGAAATCACTTGGGGACGCTCTCTTGATGAAGGCGGATGTTCGCAAGTTTTTGCATGTCGATGGGCTGGCAAGGATGTTGCAGTGAAGAAGCTGGCAGCTCGTGCAGACAACATTCCCCAGGATGCAGTGGCAGAATTCCTGGCCGAGGCAGAAATCAGCATGAACATGAGACACCAAAATGTGGTGGTGTGCTATGCAGCAACAAGATCCTTGTGCCTTGTCATGGAATTGGCCAACAGCAACCTGCAGAGATTGTGCCTTCAAACCAGACTTCTCAGTTGGGCATGCAAAGCTGATCTCCTGCTGCAGGCCTCCGAGGGTCTCAGGCACGTGCACAGCATGGGCATCGTTCACAGGGACGTGAAGTCTCTGAACTTCTTGGTGTTTGGCACCAGCCCAGACAGTTACGTGGTTAAGGTGGCAGACTTCGGTCTTGCAATTGTCAAGTCTGAGACAACCAAATGTCTGACTGGCCTTCCAATGCAGGGTACGGAACTGTGGATGGCGCCAGAGATCCTTGAGGGTAAACCACACACCATGAAATCGGATGTGTTCAGCTTGGGCATTGTGATGTTTGAGGTTGCCTCACAGAGCTTGCCGTATGCCAGGCTGAATCAGATCCAAGTCAGGGGGAAGAAATGCAAGTGGAGGGACCCTTGTGTTGGGTTGGACGAGTGCCCAGAGCCATTGATGGAATTGATGAGGGCCTGCACCAATCCGGATGCTGATAGACGACCCTCCATGAAGGCAGTGTGCTCATGTCTGATACAGATTGTGCATGGGCCCCCAAGCACGTCTGAGGTTGGTTGCAAGGTCTTTTTTCGAATGGCAGTAAAACCAGTGGCTTTGCGTGATTCAGGAGTTGTGGAAAGTCACAAGTTGGTTGCTCTTGCATCTGTTGCACTATGGTGGTAGCTTTGGTTAGTAGAACACACAATTGTTTTACGTGCAAATGCTCGTTAAACCTGGCAATTTGAGCCAGCATTATATGAGGATTCCTCATACAACAGTGATAGGCGTCTTGAGTTCTCTCAATTCTGATCACAAACGCCTGTGCCAGCACCAAAATCTGGGTTTCTTGCTTGAAGGCTCAGCCAACCAGCGCAGGGGAGCACTGGCCACTATTCAGCACAACTGGAACAGAAAATATCAGTGAGGTGCAGTTGACTGAGGAGTGTAACACACTGAGACAACGCACAATTGCTTGTTGCAGAGATGCGAAGCTGGGCCGAGATCAGATGACGCAGAGAAGGTCGCCTTGATACAGGTGGAAATGTTGCACATGGATGGCATTGCACCACAGAAACCTGCTAGTGATTTGTTTGCAAATCCATGTAATACCGTTTCTTATGTGAATTGGTGTGCAGCTTTCAATAGATGTTACTGGTCTAACATTGCCTGATTCTGGGAACCAAGGAAGTTTTTTGCTGCGCCATAAATCATATTGCTATTACACACCCCATTGCATGAACGAGGGCAAAGAAAGAGAGACCGAGCCTTCAGGCATGGTTTTGCGGTGTTAACAGCACACATTTATGCGTATTGCGCTGCAAAATAGCTTTGGTAGGTTTGCGCGAAAAATTGCATAAATATGCGTAAATACGGACTTTGAGCTCATACGGCAAGTATATACAGGCTCAGGGAGTCCGGTGGCACCCAGGCGCATTGGAGTGGGTTGAGGACGACCGCTTCTTCGACGACGTCGTTGAACTTGCCGAGGGAGAGTTGTGTTGCCGGTGCTCGAAAGGACTGCGGCCTTTCCATTGTTTTCCACTTCGTTTCGGAGCCTGGTGCTTCGACACAACGTAAACGTGTGTAAATAGGACCATAAGAATGGGCCGTTCTCTGTTTACGCCCATTAAAGGGCAGATGCGTGAACGTGAAAATGGCACAGCAAATGTAAACATTGGTCATAGAGCCATTGAAATCCTGCAGCACTCGCGGAATGAGCATGGCACTTGTTTTCAGATCTGACCACAGTTCCGCCCAACATCTTTTGACCGAAGAATGTGGCCATGCTTGCCAAGTTCGACCACGGCGTCACTCTAATTGCAACCATCGCTGCATGCCTGCACAGTCGCAACCTTCTGTGCTTTGCTAACGCATCCGTCCTGGTGACGTTTGTCTGCCCACAGATCAATGCAGATCTCCAGAAGAGATTGAGGGAGATTTCAGCACAGTCAGAGAAGCTCCAAAAGGAAAACCAGCAGGCCAATGAATCTGTTTCCTGCCTCCAAGCAAGAATCAGGGAAATCGCTGGGCAGTTGGAGAAACTTCAAAGAGAGAGCCAGGAGACTGTGTCACACCTCCAAGGAAAGCTGAGTGACACCGCAGCATACTCAGAGAGGCTTCGAAGCGAAAGCCAGAATACCGTGTCAGACCTCAGAGAAAGAGTGAACGGACTGACAGAGGCGTCAGAGCGCCTGAAGGCGGAAAACCAGGAGCTCAAGGAGCAGTTACGAGGATCGAAGCAATTTCAAAGTGCTGAATGGGGCGGTGGCACGGATGTCAAGGTGGGTGGCAAGGGAGGCAGCCAGAATGCATTGGAAGTTCTGCAACGCCAACATGCAAACCTTGGAGTCGTTACAAAGATGTGTGTATTGCGGCAAAGAACTCTGCAGGGAATGTCTCATAAGTCTAGCATACAAGGGGCTTGACGATGGTGCCTTCTTGGCATTGCTGATGACAAAGCCAACATTGAAACATCTGCAGTGGCAAAACTTGCGTGCATTTAGCGCTCAAGAAACTGTGCGAAAAAAAATTTCGTGTGCAATTTCTGGCTGCATGAAGAATTTTTTTCGCCAGCGACATTGTCCATCGAACTCCCGAGACACCTTGGGCTCTGGGCGCTCCATGTCGCTTGCTGGCATGCACGTCGGTGGCTCGCTTCAGCCACGCCCCACCCCTCGGAAGTGAGAGACGCTGTGGCCGACAAGGTTGAAGCTGCGGCGGAGGCGTGCGAGGCCAATAAGGAGGAGGAAGAAACCACAGAGAAGGCCGAGGAATCCAAGGAGGAATCTGTGGCCCCCGCAAAAAAGGAGGGATTCTGGAAGAGGACCTGGCGAAACGTGTCGGTGAGTCGGAATTGGCGTTGTTGAATGAAATTGACTCGGGCCAAGGCCGTTGGCTGGGACAGTTGGAAAAGTTCCTCTTGCAGGAACCCAGGCTTTACGTTTACATTGACGTTTCTGTGCGCAAAAACGTAAAAATACAAAAGGGGCTATTCTTCATTTATGGCTTGTTGGGGCACCCACAAAACATGACGAATTCGCATATAATGGTCAGTCCCACCCCTCGACCACATGACGTCCACCTCGTCTCAAAGGCGTCACCGAACAAAAGGTGGTTTTTTGCCCACTATATCGCTTCTGGCTGCAACCTTGCACACTCCTTGAGTCCCCGTCATTTTGTGCACCAGGTCGATATTTACGTTTCTTTGTGCAAATAAATTGTTTGCACGGAAATGCACGTAAATACTCAATGTCTACGCCGAAAAGGCCAAGCTTGCAGGAACCTGAACTAAAGCCTGAAGTGCAACTTTAACTTGAATAATGCAACTCGCGGAACACCAAAATAGCCTGTGTTGTGGAAGCCCTCGCTTCAGAGGCAATGCCTAGCTGCCTATTAAAGATGACGAGACTTAGCTTGTTCACTGCTACGCTGCTCTGCTTTGGATTCTTTTCAGTGGCAGCATCCGCCTGCGCACTCCTGTAACAACCAATGATAAAAGTGTCAACTACAAACAAGTGCCCATTTCATAGCCTTTTTCCTTTTTCATAATGGCTATCAGCTTCTGACGCTCTTGGTCCAGAAGTGCATTTTTCTGATGAGACGGGACATTGTATGCACCACACTTGCGCAATGCGCAAACCTGAGATTGCGTGTCGTGATCATTCTGTATTGCCACTTCAAACTGTTTTCCAAAACGAGTTTGCAGTGGGCAAATTTCATGCATTTGGCGCTCGCGATACTGCGCAGAAATATTTCCGCGCGAAACTTTTGGCTGCATGCAAAATTGCAAGCAGCCAGAATTTTCCACCAGCGAGATTGTCCACCGACCGCCCAAGACAACTTGGGCTCTGGGCGCCCCCTGTGCACAGCATTGACTCGCTTCAGCCACTCCCGCCCCCCCGGAAGTGAAAGATGCTGTGGTCGACAAGGTTGAAGCTGCGGCAGATGCGTGCGAGGCCAATAAGGAGGAGGGAGAAACCACTGAGAAGGCCGAGGAAGCCAAGGGAGAAGCTGTGGCCACCGGAAAAAAGGAGGGATTCTGGAAGAGGACCTGGCGAAATGTGTCGGTGAGTCGGAATTGGAGTTATTGAATGAAATTGACTCTGGCCAAGGCCGCTGGGTGGGAAATATGGGAAAGTTCCTCTTGCCTGAACCCGGGCCTGGCCTTTGCGCTTGTGTTGACGCTTCTGCTCGCAAAAGCGTCAAACCCAAAAGGGTCTATTTTGCGGCTATGTTTATGGCTTTTTAGGACGCCCTCGCTACATGATGAATCCGTGAATTCAATGGCCAGTCATCCCACCCCTTGGGCACCCGCATAATAGTGCCCACATTCACTCGGCAAGGTCAAAGGCGTCACCAAATCAAAAGCCGTTTTCTGCCAGTTTCAGCGCGTCCGGCTGCCACTCCCCAGACTCTTTCAGTCTGCGTGTACTTTGTTTATGGACATGGGGTCAAAATTTGCAGCGTTGATGTGAATAATTCTACACATGAATACTCAGTGTTTACAACGTAAAAGTCAATCCTGCAGGGACCCGAACAGGAACCTGAATTGAAACTTGAACTGGAACTGGACCTTAATATCGCAGCCCTCAGAATACCAAGAGGGACCATATTGTGGAGGCCCTCGATTCACAGGTGATGCGTAAGTGCCCTAGTAAGAAGGCGACGAGACTTCGCCTTTTCACTGTCGCGATGCTTCACCCTGGATTCTTTTGAGTGGCAACGTCCGCCTGCGCACTCCTGTACCAACCAATGACAAAATTGACAATTGCAAACAAATGCCCATTTCTGTCCGTTTTTGCATTTTCATAACAGCGATGGGCTTTTAAAACTGTTGGTCCGTAAGTGCATCTGCATGATGTGGCGGGACTTTGTATGCACTACACCTGTACAACGCGCACCCCTGAAATTGTGTATCCTGCATATTTTGTGGTGCTACTTCATACTGTTTCCAAACAAAGTCTGTGGTGGCCAAATTTGCATGCATTTAGCGCTCGATCCACTGCGCAGAAAGTTTTTAGCGTGAAACTCTTTCACCTCTCTGCCGAGACACCTTGGCTCTGGGCGCCCGCTGTCGCGTGTCAGCGTGCACAGCGATGACTCGCTTCAGCAACGCCCGCACCCTCGCAAGTGAAAGGCGCTGTGGCCGACTAGGTTGAAGCTGCAATGGAGGCGTGCAAGGCCATAAAGGAGGAGGTCGTAGAGGCCTATGAAAAGAAAGTTGTTGAGCATGTAGAGGCCTCAGAAAAGAAATCTGAGGAGGCCAAGGAAGCGGCGGCCCCCGCCAAAAAGGAGGGCTTTTGGAAGAGGACCCGGCGAAGTGTTCCGGTGAGGCATAATTGACTTTAGTGAATGAAATTAACTCGGGTTAAGGCCGTTGGGCCGGGAAGTTGGGAAAACTCGCTTTCCAGGAATCCAGGCTTGGTCTTAACGTTTGCGTTGACATATATACATGCAGAAACGTAAAAATGCAAAAGCGGCTGTTTTATGGCTATATTTATGGCTCGTTGGGACACACACGTTACGTGATGAGCTCGCATGCAATGGTCAGTGCTCCCACCATTCGATCACCCGGAACACGGTATCCACGTCGCGTCGACGAGATCAAAGACGCCGCCGAACAAAACACCGTTTTCTGCTCACTCTTGCGCGTCTGGCTACCACTCCCCAGACTCATTGAGTCAGCGTGTCCTGCCTTTGTGTGCGCCTGGCCAAGATTTACGTATTTTATGTCAATATTTTTTTGCGCATAAACATGCGTAAATACACAGAGTTTATGCCGTAAACACCAATCCTGCAGGAAGCTGAATAGGAACCTGAACTCAAATCTGAACTGCAAATTGATCCTGGATATCGCAGCCTTCGGAATACCAAGAGGGACCGTGTTGAGGAAGCCCTCGCTTCAGCTGCAATACCTAGGTGACTTAGTCAGAAGAATGATAAGATTTTGCTGTTTCTCTGCTGCGATGCTCTGCTTTAGTTTCTCTTCTGTGGCAATATCCGCCAACGCACTCCCGTACCAGCTAACGAAACAATTGGCAATCGCAAACAAATGCCTATTTCAGACCGCTTTTCCGTTTTCAAAACGGCTGTCAGATGTGCATTTGTGATGTTATTTGGGGCATTGTATGCACTACACCTGTGCAACTCGCAGCCCTGAAGTCGTGTATCGTGCCCACCCTGTAGTGCCACTTCATATTGTTTTTAAAAAAGGACACGCATTGTCAAAATTTGCGTGCATTTGGCGCTTGAGAGACTGAGCAGAAGTTGCTCTGCGCGAAATTTTTCGCTTCCTTAATTGTTTTTCGCCAGCGAGATTTTGCGCCAGTCTCCCAAGGCACCTTGGTATCTGTGCTCCCCTTGTCGTTTGTTGGCATGCACTGCGGTGACTCGCTTCAGCCACGACCACCTCCTCGGAAGTGAAAGATGCTGTGGCCGACAAGGTTGAAGCTGCGGCAGAGGCGAGCGAAGCCAAAAATGAGGAGGATATTGCCACAGAGAAGGCCGAGGAAGCCAAGGAGGAGGCGGCGGCCCCCAGGAAAAGGGAAGGCATTTGGAAGAGGAACCGGCGAACTGTGTCGGTGAGGCAGAATTGACGTTGTTGAATGAAAATTGACTCGGGTTAAAGCTGGCAAATTTACTCTTGCAGGAGCCCAGGTTTGTTCTTTAATTTTATTTCGACGTTTATGTGTTAAAACGAAGTAATTCAAAAGGGTCTGTTTCACCGGCTATGTTTATGGTTTGTTGGGACATACTCGTTCCATGATAAATTCGCGTACAATGGTCAGTCGTCCCGCACCTCGAGCACCCACAACATGGTGGCCACCTGGCCTTGGCAAGGTCAAGGACATCGCTAAACACAAAACCGTTTTCTGCGACTCTTACATGTCTGGCTGCCACTGCCCATGCTCCTTGAGTGTGCATGTACTGTACATACACTGGGTCAAAATTTACTTTTGTCTGTGTAAATACTACTATGCATAAGAATGCCTAAATACCCAGTGTTTGCATTACGAAGATCAAGCCTGCAAGAAACTGGACAAGATCCTGAACTGGAACCTGAAACTCAATATCATAGCCCTGGGAATACCAAAAAGGAACCGTCTTGTTAAAGCCCTCTTTTCAGAGGTAATGCCTAGATGCTTAGTCAGAGATACGAGGGGACTTCGCTTTTTCGCTACTGCGATGCTTTGCTTTGGATTCTTTTGGGTACAGACGCCCCCCTGTGCCAACCAATGACAAAATTGGCAATCGCAAACAAGTGCCCGTTTCAGACCGTTTTTCCGGTTCCAAAACGGTGATGAGCTTTTCAAGCTGTTGGTCCAGGAGTGCGTGTACGCGGGACATTGTATGCACTACACCTGCGCAACGCGCAACCCTGGAATTGTGTACCGTGTCATTCTGTTGTGCCACTTCATGCCGTTCTCCAAAGAAGTTTGCGGTGGCAGAATTTGCACGCATTTGGCACTCAAGCCATTGCGCGAAAATTTTCCTCACGAAATTTCTGACTGCGCAAAAGTAGTTCCGCCCACAATTTTCCACCGCTCACCCAAGATGCCTTTGGCTCTGGGCGCTCCCTGTCGCTTGTTGGCATGCACATCGGTGACTCGCTTCAGCCCTCGGAAGTGAAAGACGTTGTTGCTGACAAGGCTGAAGCTGCGGCGGAGGCGTGTGAAACCAAAAAGGTGGAGGAAAAGGCCACAGTGAAGACCGAGGAACTCAAGGAGGAGGCGGCAGCTCCCGTGAAAAAGGAGGGCTTCTGGAAGAGGACCCGGCAAAGTGTACCGGTGAGGCAAAATTGACGTTAATGAATGAAGTTCACTTGGGAGAAAATTTTGGGAAAGTTTTTCTTACAGGATCTTAGACTCGGTATTTACGTTGGCGTTTATGCTTTACGCGCAAAAACGTAAAAGTGCAAAAGGGGCTATCTTCACGGCTATTTTTGTGGCTCGTTGAGACACCCGCGGCACATGACTAATTCGCATACAATGGTCAGTCCTCCCACCCCTGGAGCACTGACAACATGGTATCCACCTCGCCCAGGCAAGGTCATCAAACCAGTCGGCATAAAAAAAATCATTTTCTGCCCCTTCAGTGCGTCTGGCTGGCACTCCCCGGACTCATTGGGTGTGCATGTACTGCCTTATATAAAGGCATATATGTGCATTGCGTCACAATTTACAGATTCTTGTGTAATTACAAATGCGCATAAAACGGATGGTCCTGAAACCTGAACTGGAACCTCAACCTGAATACTGCAGCCCTCGGAATACCAATAAGGATCTTGTTGTGCAAGTTCTCGGTTCAGAGGTAATGCCAAGGCGCCTTAGTCAGAAAGATGACGAGACTTTGCCTTTCGCTGTTTTTGCTTTGCTTTGGATTCTTTTGAGTGCCAACGTCCGTGTGCGCACTCCTGTACTAACCAATGGTAAAAATAGTAATCGCGACAAAAATGCTCTATTCAGACCGTTTTCGGTTTCAATATGGCGATCAGCTTCCGGAGCTGTTGGTCCAGAAGTGCGTGTACGCGGGACATTGTATACACTACACCTGCGCAACGCTCAACCCTAGAATTGTGTACCGTGCCATTCTGCTGTGCCACTTCATGCCGTTCTCCAAAGAAGTTTGCGGTGGCAGAATTTGCACGCATTTGGTACTCGAGCCACTGCGCGAAAAATTTTCCGCTCGAAACTTTTGGCTGCGTGGAAACGTTTTCGCCCGCAAGCATTTCCACCGCTCTCCCAAGGCAGCTTGAGCTCTGGGCGCCCCCTGCCGCTTGCTAGCATGCACTGCGGTGACTCGCTTCAACCACCCCCGACCCCACGGAAATGAAGGACGCTGTGGCCGACAAGGTTCAAGCTGCGGGGGAGGCATGCGAGGCCAAAAAGGAAGAAGAAGCCACAGAGAAGGCCAAGGGAGCCAAGGAGGAGGAGGCGGTCCCTGTGAAAAAGGAGGGCTTCTGGAAGAGGACCCGGCGAAGTGTTCCGGTGAGGCACAACTAGTGCTAGTAAATGAAGTTAACTCAGGTTAAGGCTGTTCGGTGGGAAAGTTGGACAGCTCATCTTTCAGGGACTGAAGCTTGTTCTTTGTGTCTGCCTTGCCGCATTTACGGGCAACAACGCAACAATGCAACAAGGGCTATTTTCATGGCTATATTTATGGTCCGTTGGGACACCCACGATACATGATGAATTCACATACAATGGTCATTCCTCCCACCCTCCGAGCACCCGCAACGTGGTGTCCACCTCGCCTCAGCAAGGTCAAAGACGTCGCCGAGCAAGAATTCATTTTCTCCCCACTCTTGCGCGTCTGTCAGCCACTCCCCGGACTCCTTGCGTGTGCAGTACTGTCTTTATGTATACTGGGTCAAAGTTTGCGTGTTTACATGGAAATACTACAATGCATAAATGTCCCTAAATACCCAGTGCTTGACCTATAAAAATCAAGCTTGCAAGATACTGGACAGGATGCTGAACTGGAACCTGAACCTCAACATCACAGCCTTCGGAATACCAAGAGGGACCGTGTTGTGGAAGCCCTCGCTTCAGGGATAATACATAGATGCCTTAGTCAGAATGATGACGAGATTTCGTCTTTTCACTATCGCGATGCTTTGATTTGGATTCTTCTGGGTAGAGACGCCCGCCTGCGCACTCCTGTACCAACCAACGATAAAATTGTCAATCACAAACAAGTGCCCATTCCAGACCGTTTTTGCGTTTTCAAAACGGCGATGAGCCGTTGAAACTGTTGGTCCAGAAGTGCATATGTGTGATAAGGCGGGAAGTTGTACACAGTACAACTGCACAATGCGCAAACCTGAAATTGTGTATCGTGCCCATTCTGTTGTGCCACTTCATGCCGTTCTCCAAAAGAAGTTTGCGGTGGCAAAATTTGTGTGAATTTAGCACTGGAGCCACTGGGCGAAAACTTTTCTGCCAGAAACTTTTGACTGCGCAGAACTTTTTTCCCGCGAGTTTTCCACCGGTCACCCAGGCTCTGGGCGCACCCTGTCGCTTGTTGGCATGCACAGAGGTGATTCGCTTCAGCCACGGAAGTGAAGGGCGTTTGTGGCCCAATAGGTTGAAGCTGCGGCAGAGGCGTGCGAGGCCATAAAGGAGGAAGTCGTAGAGACCTCTGTTAAGAAAGCTGAGGAGGTCTTAGAGCTATCAGAAAAGGAATCTAAGGAGGCCAAGGAGGCGGCGACTCTCGTGAAAAAGGGGGCCTTGTGGAAGAGGACCCGCCGAAATGTGCCGGTGAGTCAGAATAGACTTTAGTGAATAAATCGTGTTACGGCCGTTGGGCGGGAAGTTGGCAAAGTTCATCTTTCTGGAGCACAGGCTTGGTATTCGCGTTTGCCTTGACGGGCTTACGCGCAGAAACGTAAAAATGCAAAAAAAACTTGCTTGCGGCCATATTTATGGCTCGTTGGGACACCCACGCTGCATGATGGATTCACATACAATGGCCAGTCCTCCCACACCTTGACCACCCTCAACGTGGTGCCCACCTCGCCACGGCGACGTCAAAGACGTTGTCAAAATAAGAGTCGCTTTCTGACCACTCTAGCACATCTGCTGCCATTCTATGGTACCCTTGAGTCTGCGCATGCCTTCTATGCGTACACCGGGTCAACATTTTCATATTTCTGTGTAATTACTGCTACACATAAATACGCGCAAAATCTCAGTGTTTATGCTATGAAGGCCAAGCCTGCAGGAGGCTGAACAAGAACTCAAACCGTTTACCTGTACTGCAACTTGAACCTGAATACCTCAACCCTCGGAATGCCAAGAGGGATTGTATTGTGGAAGCCATCGCTGAGAGGTAATGCTTAGTTTCCTTAATCATAAAGATGACGAGACTTCGCTTTTACATTATTGAGATGCTTTAATTTGGGTTCTTTTGAGTGTACCAACCAATGACGAAATTGGCAATTGCAAACAAATGCCCATTGTAGGCCGTTCTTTAGTTTCTCGAAAGGTGCTCAGCTTTTGAAGCTGTTGGTCCAGAAGTGATTTGTGTGATGAGGCAGGATCATTGTATACAGTGCATCTGTGCAACGCTCAAACCTGAAATTGTGTGTCGTGCCCATTCGGAGGTGCCACTTCATAGGCTTTCCAAAAGAGACTTGTGCTGGCAAAATCTGCGCGCATTTATCCCTCGAGCCACAGTGCCACAATATTTCTGCGTGAAACTTTTGGCTGCGTGAATTTTTCCGCCCACGAGCTTTTCCACCGCTCTCCCGAGGCAGCTTGGGCTCTGGGCGCCCTTTGTCGCTAGTTGACATGCACAAAGGTGACTCGCATCAGCCACCACCCCTTCCCTCGGAAGTGAAGGACGTTGTGGCCAACTAGGTCGAAACTTCGGCGGAGGCCTGCGAGGCCATGGAGGAGGAAGTCGTAGAAGCCTCTGAAAAGGCAACTGGGGAAGTCGCAGAAGCTTCAGAAAAGAAATCTGAGGAGTCCAAGAAGGCGGCGGTCCCTGTGAAAAAGAAGGAAGAGGACCCGGCAAAGTGTGCTGGTGAGGCAGAATTCACATTAGTGAATGAAGTTAACTCGGTTGAGCCCGTTGGTGGGAAATTCATGAAAGCTTATCTTTCAGGAACCCAGGCTTGGCATTCACGTTAAGATTGACGGATTTACGTGCAGAGACGTGGAAATGCAGAAGCGGCTGTTTTCATGGCTGTATCTATGGCTCTTTGGAACACTCACGTTAAATGATTACTTTGCATACAATGGTCATTCCACCCACCCTTCGAGGACGAGAAACATGGTATCCACCTCGCCTCAGCAAGGTCAAAGACACCGCCAAACAAATGTTTTTTGCTGCTCACTTCAATATGTCTGGCTGCCATTCTACGGAATCCTTGAGTCTGCGTCTACTGTCTTTGTGTACACCGGTCACAATTCACAAACGTTTTGTTAAATACTGCTACGCATAAATATGCACAAATGCTCGATGTTTATGCCCACGAAAACAATCCTGCAGGAACCTGAACAGGAACCTGAGCTGAAACCTGCACTGCAACCTGAGTGTAATGAAATGCATTAAAAA